TCTGGAGTGCAAGAAATAGTTCGCCGATAGCGCTGGTGCCGCAAGTTGAAAGGACCATTCAAGCTGCATTTTGGTGGCGTTTTGCACGTACCTCCGACATCTTGCGCAATGGTTGTTTAACAAATTTGTTTTGATTTGACGACTCCCATGAAACCTATGGGAAGTTGAGGTTCGTCGTCAAACGCTACGGCAGCAGGTAGCTTTGGCTGTTCGGGATTACCTCAAACTTTATTGGCTCATGCTGGTTAAAATACGCCGCCATGAGAAAAGCAAGCTCGAAAAGAGAAACAACTTAACGCCAAGACGAGGGAGTTGAAAAACAAGGCGCACACATCGTCGCAGCGGAGAGCAGCTGTAATAATTTTGTTTCTCCCCACACCTCAAATCGGAGTTAAGTTGTTATCGTGTTTCCATTTCAAATAACCCGCGGCTTTTTCTTTCCCTCAGGGTGAACTTATTTGGTTGTAATCTGCAGGGCCACGAATTTATATGAACATAGAGGTTTGACAGTACAGCTCACCAAAGCGCAGGTGAGACAGCAACCGTTCTTGCCCAGGCCGTGCTTGCAGTTGGATTCCGAGACAAGCGCACATTGCACGTCGTCGCACATCATGGCGTAGCTCCGAGCGCTGGCGGAATAATACGAGAAATCTATATGAAATTGACGGATCTTTTCAGCTCTACTAGTATAGGTGACTTTCCTTGAACGAGATTCAAACCCAGTGGTCCGAGTTTCATAACAGTGACAGCTTAAGCAACGGTGTTACTTAAGCTGTCAGTTGCTATAGGTACAATACGTAGTTGTCAACGTGATGAAACCTTTTAAATTCAATTTCAATCAAAGTTTGGACTTCTAGAGTTGATAAAAATCTTGGAGGACGTTTTTGACTTCATTTTGGCTCTTGGACATTTTGTTCATCACACTTCCCACATTAGAAATGCAAATAACGACGCGTTCTTTGGACAAAGTGTAACGCACGTGAGAAAAAGATCGGCAATGTGGTCATCACCTGATGACTATCCAAAAAGCGCTGCCCTGAGCCCGGGGTGCGCTGATGTTGGTCTGTTGTCACACTCATTATTTTCTCTTTCCTCCCGCAGGGTGACAAAACTACTGCAGATTGGTACTGAGAGTAGCAGAAAAGGGTTAAAAGGGTAACCATTCCTTACTCTTTGTTTTAATGGTTTTACGGATTGTATTCGATTGTCCTGGTCTTTTATGCCCGAGTCCCACTAGAGCGACAAACTGGAACAGCCGACACTGACAAGCTTCAAACACGTGCTGCATGCACGCGAAGTTACCTTTGGCAGGGTGAAGCGAGCAACTTTGGGGTGCTCGCTTCACGAGCACCGAGAGACTGCAAACCTGCCAAAGGTACCTTCGCGTGCATGCTGTACGCGTTTAAGGCTTCTCGGTGTCGGCTGTTTCTTTCTTGTCGCTCTAGTCAGACTCGGGCATTAGAACAGAGTACGGCACTCAAAAGATCATTCAACACGACGGTAATTGATTTACGAATCGCAACTGTGTCGCAAAACTTGTTATTGAATTTGGAGTGATTATTTTTTCTAATTTTTGATCGAAAACAGTTGACAGGAAGGCTCGTGTGCGATAGTCTGGTAAAGTACTTGATTGTGTTACCTCTTGATCAGCGCGCAGACAACCAGTGCTAGTTGCAAGAAAAATGCCCTTCTCGACGACGTGTCCATCGGCGCAGCCTGCTGTAGTAACTAGCGATGAAATATCCCACTCCTAGGTCCTTGCTTACGGTAATGTGGGGCGGATGAGGGGACAGAGGGCGCAGCTGTGGAATAGAGAAAACGAGCTATACAATCCAACTCAACACACCGGAAGTGCCCGAGATAGCCGACCACAAGACGAAAAAGGGCGTCGTGAGAAGCCCCACGTGCAGCTGCGAAAAAACGAGGCGTAAGGTTCAAAAAGATCATTTATGGTTGCACATGAGGATATCTGGGCAAAGGCTGATAACGAAAAAGGGAACTGAAACTCTTTGACTGCTCGTCAGCAGAAAAAAGAAAAGAAACTATGGTCAGTGACAGGTTAAGTATTGAGCAGCCGTTGTGCCCCCAGCACGCGCCCTTTGTATTCGACCGAGGTTTGGCTTCGGCTGCGATGAGGTGCGAGTTTTAGAATAGGTGGCCCAGGACGCATCCCCCGAGCAGCTTGGGGCGCCGCACTGTGCGCGCGCAGAACCTCTGCGCTTGCGCAGTGCGACGCCCCACGCTGCTCGAAGGAATCGAAGCGTTGGGGCTCCCTATTCTAAAACTCTTCATCAAGGGCAGAAAACACGCGCTGGAGGCGAGGCATCTGCCGATTTCCTCACCTGTCACCGACTACAGAAGTGCGAGTTCATGAACGGTACCTCATTCTTGGTACCGGATGTAAGAAATGCTAGTTTTCTTTTTTTTTTTCTTTCATGAACGGGTAAGGGGGGGGGGGGGGGCGATGAGAAGGGGGAGGTTTACGGCCCAAACCAAGAGGTGAGCATCTCCTCGCCCCATCAAAGACTGAAGATTAATCTGGAACACCTGGAGACTTTTGAAGGGGAGATGAAATCTGCACGCTAACGTTTGCACAATGAGCGTACGTCAAATCGCGGAGCTTCGAACCCCCGACTGATGTTTTGAAGAATGTTTCCGTCGTTGTGGCCGCTCTGAACAAAAGACGAGCTCGTCCGGGTACTTAGCCCACTCACCGTTATCTAAAGGAACTGAACTCCTACAGATCTTCCCACAGCTGCAGCTTGTACAGGTTCTTTTTTCGTTTATTATACTATATATTCGTACATTTGGCGCGAAAGCGCTGTGAACCAGGCTTAGATTCTTGTCCGAGCTGGCTACTCTATACTAGGGAAGAGGGTTAAGGAAAAGGAGGCACGATGGAGTGATGAATATAAATCGATTAGAGGACGGTGCCATGAAGTTATACACGTTAGCGCATCTTGGCCCGCTAGAGCGAACTTCACTTGAGTGTTCCCGATTAATATCGCTCTTGTGGAGCTCACTGAACGTTAAGCGCACTTCTATGTGCCCAACACCTAGCCACATGTTAAAAAGCAAAATAGGACGTTGTGAGCGTTTACACATCGAGAGATCGATGTAGAGAAGAATTTTAGCCAGTGAAGATCGATTGATAACCTAAGGTCTTTAAAGCAGTCAGGCACCAATATTTGATTTGACGTTTGCACACTTCACACAAGCACGCTGACCCAAAGTCACACTAGTATACTCGTTTGCAACGACACCGAGCCAGATGCTTTTTCATCTCGGTGTAATTTTAAGCATTCAAGCAGACTATTTATTTGTGTTTAGCACTGTGTAAGCATTTGACTTGAGCTCGTTTATAATCAATGCATAGCTCCATCTTCAACAAAGCTGCTCGTTTATACAACACTCTGTGTCCCACCCTGGAATATGCTAGCGTCGTATATGGGATCCTTTTTACTAAAACAAAATAAATAAAAAAGAACATAGACTAATTAGAAATGATACAAAGAAAATCTCCCAGGTTTAAGTTCATTAGGTTTGGAAGAAGACATTTTCCGCCAAATTTAATGCCTCAAACTGATTTCACCCCGCTGTCATCTCGGAAGACCGGTACCCCGCCTCAGAACTCTTTTCCTAAGAGTCAGTAAATGCATGAAAATACTTCAAGACAAATCTATACCTTTCCAAAAAAAAAGAATCAGGCACTTCATTTACACACCCAAACACAATCACCGAATGCCACTCATGGGTCGATTCATCCAAATAGTCCTTTTTCTCCGCGCAGAATATGCGATCGGAATAAGTCACCTGAATATGTTGTATGTGAAACCGATTCCTAGTTCCTAGACCAGCTCTTAGCAATTGTGTAAAAATCTTAGTGCGTTTTGTTTCGTTGCTGATATGTAACTGCCGCCATTTTGCTTATTTGTTTCGCCGCGAGAAATGATACGTAGTGTTTTTGAAACTTTTGAATTTGACTACACATATAACGCGAATCGGTGCTTAACGTAAGGCAGTGAATGTCACTGAGTGGCCTCATTTGTTCTCCTTCTTTTTATTGTGATCAGGGTATTTTTGTATTACGCCACTCTCATTATATTTCTTCTAAGGAATAATAGGTCCCGTAAATAAATAATAAAGTATTGAATAAAAAAAGAATAAACCACGGTCGCTCGATTCCGGTTCCCACTCCGCTCGGAGAAACATGTCGAATGGCTCTGTTAGCCCGGCGAAACGAACATTCTTACAGCGGTCAGAGTGAGCGGTATTGAGCCTGATGGCTCTGCAATAGTAGCTGCTGGCGGCAAACGAGTGGGAGCTGGGCGGAACCCGCGCAACGCAAAAGCATTGCTGGTCCTCTAGCGACGAACTTGGGAACCTCCTCTGAATCACTGTTTCCATGCGTACCCAGGTTATACAGTGCCCAGGGGAAGTGGCAGGCCGTAGCGAAGCGGCCGTGTGTGGACATTCAAACAGGTGCTCGTGTCTATCTCGCCCCGGGGACGAGATCGGACACACACCAACTGTGTACTAAGCACAGCACGTATCCCGGACAATGCCAACCCCAGCCCGTGACAATCACAGGCTGAATATCATGCGCACAGGGCCACGTGGCCACTTGCTTTGGCCACGAGTGGAGAGACGTGAACTTTGCCCGTTTCTGTAAATTTTTCTCCGAAGCTGCTAGTGTATGGAGAAGGGAACCAATTCATCTTTCGTGGGTTATAAACATCAGGGATTGACTTCGAGCAATATGTAGTAAAGTTTAAAAAAAGCTAATCTCGTGGGCCCTTCCCTTTAACAGGCATCCCTCGGTGGTAATTACACGAATGCACGTTGGAAGGATGCTCCCATCAATCGAAACAATCAGGGACCAGATTCAGGAGTAATGTTTAGGTTCGGCGGCGCGGTTTTCCTTTTACCTGGTATAAGCTGCGGTGGCATGGCACTCTGGGAGGGCGATTTAAACGGAAGACTCACACATAACACGTCAGTTTCTCCAAACAATGTTTTCATTTTTTTTTATTGCGGAATGTGCGACACAGTTTAAAGTTGAGACACATTGAATGTAGGCGGAACACACGGGTTCGCACACAACCTTGAGACGCGAACGGCAGTTAATCGATTCAATTCTTAGGAAATAAAAAAAAGGGAACAACAAAGAGCGGAGATCGAGGAACACCATCACAGATAGAACAAGGTTCCGCGAAAAAGAACAGAAGACAAAAGCGCAGAGCGACACCACACTTTTCGCCTTGAGTCGGTCAACGGTCAGACTGGAAGGGTTCCAGCGGGAAGAAACAGAAATACCTCAACTCGGTGACATTTCGGTGTTGTCAGCTGCCTCAATTTCCCGCATGTGTCCAACAAGAAAAGAAAGAGCGCGAGAGAAAGAGAGAGAGAGCGCGCGGGAGGGAGATTGGGAACGTTGGGAAAGGCAACAAAGTTATTGCACATAAAATGCTTGCACATTAGTGTCGCCGTTTGCACGTTACATGCCTCGTGCGATTATATATATATATCTATATATATCTATATCATATTTATATTATATACCGATTCGAAAGTATGGACATATTTACAAAACTGCGCTCGTTTACCTTCGTTATTCATTTATTTATTTATATAGAGAGAGATATCGCGTATTGCGAGGTCACGACACCTAGACAACGAAACCGGGAGGTGGGAGACCCAACTGAAAAAGGCACATTGAGAAGGACGACTGCGCCCTCTGGCGACAGCCTTTTTTGCGGAGCCGTGAACATCCACCGCGTAGGAGAGCCGAAGCGTCGCACGGTTGCCATGTCACGAAGGAAAGGTCACCAACCAGCCAAGGAGGTGGTGAGAAGGATATGTGGTGGATATACGTGCGGTACCTCTTGTCGCCCACAGAGCAGGGCCCGAGGCTCGCCCCTCGCGTGGATCGTCCCACGAAATCGTTCTCCTAGAGCATAGCCCCACGGATTCTGCTAGTGCAAAAACAAGAAACCAGCACTGTCGGTGACAGTGAATAGCGATCATCTCGCTGCAGTGAATAGTGGTAGAGACAAGGTAGTGTAGGTAATGCGACGTACCGCAAGAGGAAATGAAAGGTCATTGTAACACGGGGCCGATCGTTATATGAGAGGTTGGACCAGCGGCAGATGCAACATTCCTTCTGTGGTCACTGACAGATTGAGAAACGAACGGCGTGGTATATTGTGTTCACCCCTCTAGCTTCGTGATTGGTTCCTCGACTTTCGTAACGGCTAACGCCGCCCTCTCATTGGCTGAACAGCGATAATGAGATGCGCGGGACACACCACGCCCTGAGCTTCTTAAGCAGTCGGAGACTATATATGAGAGAAAGGACAGAGTCGAAAGATCACTTATTCAACTGCAACCTTCGCAAAAAACACATGTAGTTTTCAAACTTCGGAGCGCAAGCGGCGAGTTTGTAAACGCCGAGAAGCGACGACAAATCGATACACGAAGACACGAGTTTGAAGACGAAGGATTCATATTCTTTTAACTCTCCGCAACCTCCGTATGCTGACCCGCTGGACTGACGAGTATAAGTTGGCATCGGAAAATTAGTTTGTGGCGCAAGTTAATGCGCGGTGAACTACATAGTATGAGACAATCTCTTGGAAATAATAAAATCTTGGAATCTCTTTGCATTGTTCCAGGTTACGTTCATGGAAATACTGTGCGGAGTTGTGCGTTCGTATTGCGACGGGATACTGAACAAGAAGAGATAATTGCACCGCAATAGGGTTGAAATTTAACCTGAGAAAATGCTGATCGATAGTAAGGAGTTGGACGCCATACACGGTAGATTGCGTCGAAATCCTTTAAAGCTCAGGCTTGATAGGGGAGTCGTCATTGGGCACGGCTTAGATGCTTCTTTGGACACAAAATGTCATCGTTTTTGGGGATCGATGTCAGCACTGAGATAATGGCCTCTTTTGCTGCCGTTGAACGTAAGTCGGCGGGGTGTTTTAGGAGGTGGCATTTTCTAGAGAGATGATGGTACAGGGAGCTCGGCCAGCCACTTCGAGACATGTTTTGAAACTGTTTTGAGAACAAATATGCCAAAACTTGTTTACCGCTCCTGGTTTGTGGACAAAGACGCAGTAACTTTAATTTCCTTTAAATATCTAACCAGTTGGTAAAATTTTCTTTCAAGTACCCCCGACCTTCGGTCTAAACATTTTGCCTCGCCAATTTTACCGCAAAGCAATTGGAGAGCCAGTTGCAGCGGTATACGGAGGAACCTCGTGGACTGAAAAAGCCAATTCAAAACACGAAACACCACACACAAAATGTTTTGACGCAAAAATACTGCGGATAGCTCTTCGCTGCACACTCTGACACTCTGTATACGGTAAACGAACAGGCATATGTAAAAGTGATAACTGCGAATGGTAGTCAACGTCTAGGCAATTTTTAAAAGAAAAACGCTTACTTGAAGCTAAAACCTCATTAAACTTAAAAAACACAACAGCTGGGATTAGACTGTTAAATTTACGTGGCTTCGCAAGCGTGTACTGTTGGAACAAGCGCCGAGTATCCTGTGTGAAGGGGTACTCGCGAAGTTTGTTTTTCTTTTTCTATACGAGGCCTATCTAAATATGCCTTAGAAAAACGACACGCCGTGCACCATTCTGGATTCGAATTGTTGCTTCACAAACATATGCAAAATTCACTCGCGCACAATCGCAATGTTATAGCCAAAGGCACCTCAAAAATTTTATGTGGAATCATTTCTTTCCCACTTTGGAGAAAACGACTGCATTATAGACCTATCCATGGTATTCATTCATCCAATGTGAAAAAAATGAATTAATCAGATCAACAAAAATGTGAATGCAGACATCCATTTCCCTTCCTGACTCGGAAAGGAGTGACGTGTGTCGAGATATCGAGGTAGTGTCCTGCTGAGACGCTGCTCCGCTTTCCATTCCTCCCTCATGTCACCTATGGGCGCATCAATTTCCGGTTTCGAAAGCAAGAATCCAGAAACGAGCTAAAACAAAACGAGAGAACCAAGCCGCAACTCTTCATCCACCTCTATAACGCCCAAGACAGCGTCTAGGGGAACGAGTGGAAATCATTTACACATGCGCGAAACACTTCTAGTCCAAAAAGAAGCAGCGGACATATCTAGCGCGATAAATTCACTCGTGGCTTCAAGCCGCAGTGACTCATTAAACTTCCGAATGCAATTGCGACATATCAAACCTGCGATTTGCTCTTTATATTTGTGTTCTCAATGTGTGCATAACCATACTCAATGCGGCATGAATTTCGCATAAACATAAGACACCCAAATCAAGTAAAAAAAAAAAAAGAACTAGAAACGCCAGCTTGAATAAATTTTGCCCAGATCAGTTTATCAGAAACATTGGAACCCTCGGAAGCCTCATTCCAGAAGAAGAATAAGAAAATCGTCATGAGACATGTGCCACGCGACCACTTCAACTAGCAGTTTCGTAAGATCATCGAGACTTTTTACAAGTTGACTAGATGTCGAGATTCTTTTTGTGTGTATGTGTGTTTGACAGTGAACTCTCCAATGAAGCCTGAAAAGGTCCAAGAGACAGAAGTGCGGCATTGCAGGTTGCGGATTTGCAATCAAGTTAAGAGTGTTACCGGCACAAAATATTTGAATTTAAAATTTCAAAAGTGCATGCGAATCATGAATAGAAAAAAAAGAGGTCCATATTTGATTGAAATCGGTACAGCGAATTTAAACCCGCAGCAGATACAGCAAGATGTATCAAAGTCTGATCAGCGATAGTTAGTAATTTAATGACAGCCTTTTCAGGATTACATTTGATTTCTTTTCTACATTTTCCACAACTGCGTCCTTGATCAAAATAACCTGTTTCAACAAAGGTTTCAAGTTCTCCGCTACCAATTCCCGTAGTCCGTAATGTGGAGAGTAAACTTGAACATCGTTTGTTTTTCACATCCACAGATGAATCAGAAATACAATTGTACAAAATAAATCGAACGCCTTATCTAATATATAAAGATATCGCAAGTTAGTGCAGTAGAATCCGAGATTAGTCATCACCCTAGGCAAACCGCAGGTATGATACCGCAGAAAAACCACCAGTGGGTGAACAACCAATATTTTCCAGTCCCAAAGACGTTACGTCAAGGTTGCCTGGTCAGATTTTATGGAGCATGTCTATTCTATAAGTGAGAGGAACAGTGCTTATGCTTCTGCTTGGCATCGACAAGAAGCGAAACTGTCTGGCACCATACGGGTTTAAAATTTCAAACGACGCGCACGAATCTGGGATGCGCGGATTATGGCGTAAAGTCTTACAGAATATAAGACCCATCGGTAAATCTGACGCGTGGATTCAACTCAGTACACATTACTGCGTCCAATAAAACCAGTGCTGCTGCAGGCAACTCCTTCCGGTTTGCATTCTGCACAAGATTATGCCCCGCTGTATCCAAGTACGTCTGAACCACTGCGATGGCAAAGAAGTAGAAAATGTCGTTCAGTTGGAACTGTTCATTACAGTTTCTTAGTATCGGCAATGTTACGCGATAGCTGCGGAATGGGGTATGGAGCGTGGAAGAACGACAGAGTACGGCCGTCCCTTCTTTCGGTATGGGTAGAGGAACGCACGAGACGTAAGGCGTCACACGGTCAATTTGTACAAAAGCGAAGGGTTTTGGAAGCGTGGTTGATGGAGATAGTGTTGGAGAGACACGTATTCACATGCGGTAGATCATGAACGAAACAAAAAAAGTCGGGCTGCGCACGCAGTAGAAAAATTTACACGTCCCAGTTCCACAAAGAGAAGAAACGGAAAGAAAAAAAAGAACAGCACGTGAGTTGCAAAACGTTCGGAAAATGTGTCCGCTCTCGAAACAAGACACGTATGGCACTATAGGGTGAGTGGCAACTTTGGACTCGTGGCGGTGTCGAAAAGTCGGTGCAGAAACATGCAACGCTGCACACGTTCGCTCAAAACAGCCGAAATAACGCTGAGCTCACTAGGGTCCCAATCACGTTCCTTGTCCCAGAAGAGTCTTGTGCCTACTCAAGAAGAATGAGAGATAGATAGAAAGAGAGGGAAAGATGTTAGCCATATTAGCCTTTTCGATGTAACGCATCACACAAAGAGTTTCGAGACTGGTTTCTTCGTCCATTATCGTGGGAAAAAAGCAGTACTCTTAAAACATAAAGGCTAAACGTTTTCATGCCAATTATGCTACGTCACCTGCCTTTTGTCAGCGGCACTATAGCCACCGGCAGGAAAGGAAGTGCAGGGCATCTTTTAGACGCGCAGCCTCCAGCACGCGCTTGTTGCCTTCCGTCGTGCTTTAGATGTGTATGCACGCTCGAAGCTAATGAGACGCCAAAATGCTATAGAAGGTAGGAAGATTGTGCTGGAGGACAGGCAAGTGAAAAACCTCCCTGTGGTTTTTATCCCATCACTGACTGTAGTATAGAATGCAACGATCGTCTCTCATATCTTCCTGACAGTCTCACAAGTGGGCGACGTGGCGTTGTTTCTCACGCCCCGGCTTGGAGCTCGACAAAAGCCAATTCCCACAGACGAAATTGCAAATCGTCCTTAGCTTTCTTCCAAAGACCTTCCGGGACGGGGAACGCCAAGGGGTCTGCGGCCATCGGAGGTGAAGCGTGACTAGCGGGTCAACCGAGAAATATAACACTCAGGAACCTCTGCGACGGCACAGCTGACAACACAACACGACAACAGCCGGATGCCAAGTCCAAATCTGACCTGACGAGAGCCGTGCACGTGCGAGTGGTGCGCACACAAAGATGCACACACGGACACACGCACGCACGCACAGCGTTGGAGATAGAGACTACGGCGTAGGCGGCGAGTTGTCCTCGGGCAGGTTCGTGAACTGACTCACTGTTGGCACATGAAGAGCGCGAGTTACGCGAGCTCGTCGGATGATCCTTGGCGCCGGATCCCGGGATATGTGCTGGCTGGCGGGTCGCTCCGAGGTGGAGCGATTTCCTTCGAGCTCCCGAATACACTTCTTCGCCTCTCCAGTCTGACGGTGCGATACGCCAGGTCTCGCCTATACGTAACCAAGAAACAGCCCATGGCTGCTTTAGCGTCAGAGAAGAACTAGATTTCAGATTTTCTGACGTCGGCCTGGCAGGGGCTCGTGGTATGGAGCACTGTTCTGGTAGTTATATGAACGGACATTTAGAGAAACGACTCGCACACCTGTTATATTATATGCCTGTAAAGAAACTAACGGTTCATTAGGTATGATTTAAACCACAACGAAACGAGGTTTGAACGTCGCTGGGTTCCGACATGACATAGTATGTACGGTCTGGATGAGTTCTCCGCTTTGGTGATTTTGTTCAGTGAGTGTGAAATGTCTTTCATTTAAAAAGTCTGACTCTGGACGTCGAGTCCTTCATTAAATACATAAGATGATCCCAATGCAGCGTAAGTGTGGTCGTCAGACACGTTTTAGCGATCGCCTGTGACAACGTTTAACATTCCGTTAGTCGAAAAAATGTTTTGATCCGACCTCCAAAACATCCATTTTGGTACAAAAATCATAAAGCTATGGCACGCGATGAAAGCTGCCATAAACTGACCACCTAACTAAGCACGGTCAACCGATTCCCCTCAAAAGCCTCGGCAGCCCCGAAGGCGTCCTTCGTAAAGCACTGTAAAATGAGCAAGCTGCACCACGACACTGCAGAGACCAAACCAGGAACCAGATATCCCTCCTTCAGGGACTCGCTCAAGACGAACAACGCTGGTTCTTCGTCCCTCGAAACTTGGCTGCGAGACCCAAACACGCTGGTTCATGGACTCGACCACTCCAGGACAGCCATCGGCTTGCTGGCCTGCCCGTTGCACCAGACGGGGAGATGAACCTTATCGAGTACGGCGACGGACGGCAAGTCCAGTTGCAGACGTCGCACGATGGTGCCCTAGCTCGCCCCCTGGAGCAGTAGCTTCTTCTTCTTCTTCTTGCGGCCCTTGATGCGGAAAAGTCGTTTGAGGGCATTGAGGATGCGGAAGCGGCCCTTCTTCTTGCCCGGCGGCGGTTGTGGCACCGGGTGCTCTTCACCAGCGCTGGGACGCGCCGACGACGGGTCGTCCCGCGTAGCCCCGCTGGTCGTGCGGTCCCCCCCGGTGCTCGTAGTGGGTCTCCATGGTGGCCGATCCGCCGCTACCTCGGTGCTGCTGAGCGTAGGGATGCTGCTGGTGCTGCTGGAGCTGCTGCGCGTGCTGTGCAGGATGCTGCTGCTGCCACTGGAGCGAGTCGTCGGCCGGAGCGTGCCTGTTGGGCGCCGCGCCCTGGTGCGGAACCCCGGCGCCCTGGTGTCCCCCGTGGGGGCCCCTGCCGCCGTGGATGCTGCCCTGCTGCTGGTGATGGCCCTGCTGGTGCGACGGCTGGTGTTGCTGCTGCTGGTGGGCGCCGGGCCCGCCGCCTCGCGGGGCCAGCATGGGTTCGCGGAGCTCTGCGAGGGACGGGGGGGGGGGGGGGGGGGGGGGGCCGAAAGCGCCGTTGCTGGGGGCATGTCATTCGACAGAGGCTCGCCGCCTCTACCGACGCTCAAAGAGTTCAAAACTGAGCGGCACAATCTCGCCTCCGTCAAAGAGTTTACTATAGTATAATAATAGAAAATGTTCAAGTATGACACGCAGCTCCAAGAACTGCTTCAGCTTCTCGAGTCCTCAATCAACAAAAATGCCCGTCGTTGCTAGATTTCTTTCCCACGAAACAGAAACATCTGCTTTCCCACGAAACAGAGATGGGATGACATTTCCGTGGAGTTCAACAAATGACGCAAATCTAACCTTAAAAAAAAAGAACAAAAAAAAGAAAGAAAGATTTATGCTGAGACATTAGGGAGTTTTAGAATAGCGCACGCTGAAGCCTTGCGTACGGAAAGAGTGTTGGCGTTCCTCCAAGAAGGAATCGCGACGAGAGATTGACTAAATTCAAGACGAGCACAGTTAGAATATGGCGGCTCCCAGGACCATAGTTGCGGCCGCTTCGGCGGCGTCGTGAGGGCGACGTCGGCGGCATCCTCGAGACTGCGAGTTTCAATACGGGACGACATTGCACTCGGTTTGGAAAACCCAGTAAGGTGAACAACGATCACCGGAAACTTGATGCTTGCGACGAGCGAACATTTCTCGGCGAAGGTAAGGTCCGCTTAGGTCAGTACACGAGACACCTCTTGCCGAGGCGATGCAAGCGGACACGACCAAACGACCGCTCGCGTCGCTTTATCATGTTTAAACAAATCTAAAACGTTACTCTGGACCAAAAAAACTTTTTTTTTTGTTTCTCAACTTACAGCATTTCGCGTGTGAAATAAGAACTGTGACTGTATTTTGGTGGCGTTGCAAGTGCGAGATGTTTGAGCTTTTGCGTCGCGGCGGAGAAACGCAGTTCTAAAGCTCTATTGCGTAGCATGCGCTAACGCCAGCGCAAAATTTAGCGCTGCGTGCGCTAAAACTGCGCGCGTTATTCTAAAACTCCCTATTGTGACTATATATGAAACGTCATGTATCGGCCAACAGCAAACCGGGCTTTGGGGTTGTGATATTATCGGAGCTTCGTCATTCGCTGAACAGCTTTCGATGACAAGAAGTATTGACTGCCCCTGGCCTATGCGGAAAAGTCTACGCGCAGGCATTTTGCAAAGCTCGATAGATGCGACGAGTGCCCTTTCTGACCGAGTACTCCAGGACCCAAGAACTGAAAGAGCTTTCAGAGATCTGAGCCGATGCTATGAGCCGACGAAGTCACGTTAGTAACACCTACTGCACAACGTCGCAGCATCCGTCGATCTGCCATACGTTGGTTACTGTCAATTAATACAGCCAGGCGAAAAAATATGTGCAATAAAAATTACCTTCCATGCCTTTGTATAAAGGTCGTATTTCATTCCTAATAAAAATGCACTTAAAAAAAAACTTGCGTTAGGTTTTTTTTTAGCTTGGATGATAAGTTGGCGGCCATGAGAGTCAATATAAAAAAGGAAAAATCGGTTAATTCTTTACCGATTCGCCTTATCGGCTAATTCTTTTTAAGTATAATAAAGTTTCAATACAAATTTAAAATTTTTATTTTTGGAGGCATGATGTAGTTGGAAATTTGGTGCTCGACCCAAATATAGCCTTGCCATGCCGTGAAACTTTGATCAAAACGTTTGTAGCGTGTGCTACGGGGCGAAAAATGTAATCCTCCCCGATGGCTTGAAGCCAAAACCAAACCGCCAAAGAGTGCTCGTGACGTCAATCCCTCCGCTTTACACTTGCGTCGCACTGCTAACGTCAACATCGGCACAGGCACATTGGTTGTGGAAAGAATGCAATTACTGCAAAGGCGCAAGCGAGCTGGACAAGATGAACGATAATAATTCCTTAATTCCTGGAGAAGGGTAACAGGGGGGGACAAAGGACAAACAGAAATCTCTAAACGCAGCTGGGTGACTGGTGTACGCCTGAAAAAATCCGCCTGGTCCTGGTTTCAAACCAGGGATCTCTCCATTTTCAGTGGAGCACTCTACCAACTGACCTAACCAGGAGTTAGATGTCAGTAGAGCAAACGGGTTTTATCAGCTGCCACCAGTGTAACACCAACAAAGGTGAACGGCCTGCTTTTTAAGGTTACCAGTCTAACACCAACAAGGGTAAACGACCTGCATTTTAAGGTTACGATCAAAACCTTCAAATGCAGGCCGTTCACTCTTGTTAGTGTTAGACTGGTGGCAGTTGTGAAAACTCGTTTGCTCTACTGATGTCTAACTCTTGTTTAGCTCAGCTGGTAGAGCGCTCCACTGGAAATGGAAAGGTCTCTGGTTTGATACCAGGATCAGACGGAATTTTTCAATCGCGCACCAGCCACCTAGCTGTGTTTGGAGATTTGTGTTTGCCTTTTGTCCCCCTTGTTCCCCTTCTCTTGGGATAATTATCGGTTGCGGAGCAGGCGCAAGGCAGATGAATCGACGTCACGGGCGCTCTTTGGCGGCTTAGTTTCGGTTTGAAGCCGTGTAGACATACCTGGCCCTGTAGCGGCCACTGCAAAGGCTTCAGTCAATATTTTAGGTCGGGGCTACACAATAACGAGGTCGGGCGTCGATTCTACAACCACATTATACCCCACCCCTCCCCCCCCCCACCCAAAAAAAAAAGAAAAAGAAAAAGTCTTTTAGGTAATGACCCCCATGGCCCCTACCTTCGGTCAAAAGGTAAAAACACTAACGCAATTTTCCTTCATTAAAATTCTAGTTTCACACACAAAAAATATACATATATATATATATATATATTATTGCATATATCCGTTTGTCGCACCTAGATTTTTCCAGCGCCCTTATTTATAAGGGGAAGCGGAGAAGGTAATTATAATAAGACAAGTTTTACTGTCTGATGCAAAGTCCGCGTTTGGTGTCTCAAACCCTCAAGATGATCTAGACGCGCAAGGGCGACAACGCTGAATACAAGGGTTTTATTATTTATCGAGAACTCTAAAGCGACAAGCCTACATAGTGTTGTTTGTTTGAGTTACGTTGTATGGTGTGTGAATGAATTTGGCAGCTTGGTCACGCGTCTGTCATATTTGCATTATGTGCGAGGTCATCGTTTAGTAGGCCTTAGAGAGTTTAGAGAGTAGTGGACAGTGCGATGCTTCAAGTTAATAGTGTATTAATAAAAAACAACACTCATCGCAAAAAGTGCAGAGAATAGTATAAAGGTATGCGACTGTTCGATTAGCACCTCCGATTTCGAATAGGAGATGTATGCACTTTTATGTTTGTATCCCTCCAGGACGTATCCAGACTGTAGCCCTGACTTCACAATCGAACAAAGCTTTTCCACATAGCAAGTCCCACCAGCAAGCCACTCCTAAATTCGTCACTCGACGAATCATACATTTCGTACACGGTAGCTTAGGTGGCTCTGCCGAACTTCATTCCAAGCCACTTTACTTCAGGACAGTTCATCCTGAACGTTTCATACCAAAAAGTTTCATTGCAATGTTCCATCACAAATTGCTTTTTCTGGCAGGCACATACAATACCACGGCATTTCCTGCTAGAAAAGTTCTATACGGTAGATTTTTTTCCATTTCTACTTTTTGACAGTCAGACAAACCGAGTGACAAGCGTAAGTTACGGAAAGAACGTATCACACATGCGGGAAGAAAGAGTGAGCAAGAAGTAACAAAAAAACACGAAATTACCGTGACGGGGGCGGAGCTGCGTCTGGGTCGGTTAGCCAAAGTGGCTGCGGGGAAAGGTTAGCAGAACAGAGCAGGCAGTTGGAGCAAGGCGTGTCCACGAACCGTGCAACAGCGATCTGCGCACGACTACACTGGCAGAGGAGGCGAGGCAAGCACATTCTGGACCACCCGTCGTGACACCATCGAGCCGCGCTCACACTGACAAAACATCGTGCAAAAGGTATCCTGCAGACGCTGTCCGAGGCACGTTTCCTCCATGTGCCGTCACGTAGGTCATAGAAGAACGAACCGCAGAGATGTCCGAAGCACACGTTCTGTACGAAGCAAGCACGTGTTTCGAGCACCCTTGTGGCGCAGAGCACGCTTGCGGCTGCAGTGTTACTTCGGCGCATCTGGAGCCATAGGCTCGCATTGTAACCGGAGCGGTTAATTAGGAAAATGTTTTTTTCTTTTTTTTGCTAATTATGCTGAAATGGCAAGGAAAAGTGCCTCCGATAACTGCTCATCTTGAATTTGGATACACGAGGTGCCATGCGTCTGGCACCGCGCCATCAGTGGCAAGGACGTAATGCTTACACTATAAGAAAAAGAGAAGAAAAGGTTCATGCGTCTCCACGTTATACGCCAAGCACGCGCAGAACCAATTACTTCGATCTAAGAATAAAAGTCAACAAATGACGAGGCAGACTTTGTTTTTGTTTTTTTGTCTAAAAATGAGGTTTTCGATGCGATGCTGAAAATACCGTGATCGTGCGAAAATTAGTTCTCAACGACATATGGCAGATTCAATTTTCGGTAAAAAGCTCTTTAAGACTCGTCACTCGCTCCGTAGATCGCAGTGATTGTCTCCCGGAACGCTCTCAAAAAAAGTAGACGCACCGCCACTTTTTTTTTTTTTTTTGTAAACTAAGCTTAAGTAAGCTTGTTACATTGAAGGCGCACTTCGCCCTTCTTGCGAGTATAGTGAAATTCTAAATAAGTTACGATTGCCTGAAGGTGTAGATTTTAGGAAGCGAATTGCGGGGCACAGCAGCAGAATGAATTCTAAGGCGCCATTATGTTCCGGCGGAATGTGCTCCGTCCCGCGTGTCCATTTTCGTTACTTGAGGTATGGAGACTTTAGGATGACGGCATAAAGCAAAGTCCAAAAAATGGGTCACAACGGGTGTAGTCCGGCATCATGCAAACAGGCAGTCAGTTAATTCTAGGAAATAGCAGTTTCAAAAGCTGTTTCAAGGAAGGTTAGTCTAAAAGTCGAAGAGTGGCATGCAAACATCAGCGACAGAGAACATTCCAAATACAAAATAATAAAGACTAGAATTGAGTCATGCAGGTCAATATACAGGATTACAAGATTCGCTTCGATGGTAGGAAACAAGCCAGAATGCGGACGATTCTGATCAGACAGTACCTACAGCGCGGCAGCACCACGGTTCGATACATTTACTTCACCGCTTTGAACAGTAATTTCATGCTCGGCAGCGTACGCGGTTAAATGTTCGATAACCAACTAAACTTTTTTTGCCAAAGAACCATTATTCCGCCATGTCCTAGGATGCGAATCATTTTTAACAGCAACAAGAGTGTATGCTTTGAGCATAATTAAGGTTAACGCATATGCTTAAGCTGTGTCAGCTCAAGAGCTTAGAATATCGGGTTGTGCAATTATCTTTGAAAAAGTCTGTTTTGTTATGAGTAAGGGTACAGATGATGTGCGAAAAACCATCCGAATATCGCACAAAGTTCAAAATACGAACAAACAGGTTAAAACCACTCTTCTTTAGAACGTCTTTGTTAAGTATAGGTTGTATACGTCCGGCGTCGGTGTTGAGTATAGGTTGTATACTTCGGCGCTTCAGAGCGCGAAGAGTGGCGTTGAAGCCCTGGGAGGTTCTTTCTCCAAAGAGTCTTGGGGTTGTTGCACATATACACTCAACAAGTTTACATCCTTAAAAGTTTAAATCAGCTGTCCACGGTCTAACACGCTAACAGTGTTCTGAAACACCCTTAGGGCAATGGTTAATACTCTAAGAATAGGGTGCTGGCGACCATTGCAACATTCTAGCTATATTAGTTTAAGAGCAACAGGTTTACAAGCACCAAGCATCACACGCAGTCCTCAGATTCACACAAGCTTCAAATGGAGGCGCGATTAATTACGTACCGAAATAGGAATCACAACCTTATATACTCGACAATGCAGACAGCCATTTAAAAGAGACGGTCTCAGGAATTACGGAGGTTACACGTATGCGGTTTTGCTGGCGTCAATAATTCACGTAAAACATAATATATCTAAGTTCACGGAATTCTTCCCCAAGTGAAAAGCATAGTCACTAAAACAAAATGGTTAATGCAGACGTCAGAGCAGCAAACGCCCTTCAAAAATGAAAGGTGTCCTAACTTCACTCTAGCACCTTTTTCCCCACACCATTCTTACAGCCTTCAAAATAGCAAAGTTTTACATGCAAATCACTCTATTTTACGATTACAAAGGGTGTATTAATAAAAATAAAAGCGCTAAAACGGCGTAGCCATGGGTGTAAGCCTCTAAACACCTCGTCTCCACCCTGAAGGTTGTAAAGTTTTTTTATAGTGTAGCCTCCGTTGCATTGCGACGTGAAACCTCAATATTTTTACACAAAGTTTTGCTGCAACGATCCAGGCGTGAGCGTTTATCGGACAGATATCGGAAATTTGTAAACAAAAAATATTACTTTTTTTTCAAGTACACTGTGATGAGTTTCAGTTATTCAGAATTTTGTGCAATTTTCGATTGGGTTTTCACACATATGTTCTTGCCTTAACTCTCACTCCAAATGTGGTGCTTTGGTAAGGAATAAGAAGCACTTGCTACCTATTTACCTTCCCAAAGAACATGCGAAAAGTCAACCATCGCGCGGCACAAAAGGGTCCTAGCAATTGACACGACTCAAGAACATTTCGGCCCAAAACTGCGATCAGAACATGGAATTTGAAAGTATTAACTGGGGGCTCTTTCGGTTAATAAAAATTATAGACTGCCTTGAGTTTTCTCTCCAAGAAAGACATCACATAAAAATGCGTTTCTTCTTTTCCTAGAGGCGAAGTTTACGGGTACGCTAGCTACCCTGTACATGAACTAAATAAAACCAGCGTACGTTAAACAATTGAAAGCAGAAATTCGCCAACTGAACACTTCAGCTACTATAATTGTTGACACCTCAAAACGACACGACCAAGACGTTTGCGAGCAGTCACGCTTCAAAAGCTAGTATGGCAACCGTGGGTGGAAAGTTCTTGGTGCGCCAGTCTGCCAAACATGGGCAAGCCTTAGCGAGAATTGACCATCAGACGATCTACGCACGCCAGCAACAACACTGCAGCGTCCGGAGTTCGAGCATGCAAACGTCTGTAGCCAGCCCCGAATTGGGTCCTTTTCAATGGCAGCCAATCGGACCGCGGCTTAACGGAATACGGAAGCTCACTAACCGATCATGAAGCGAGACAGGCTACCGCAATTAGCCAAGCCTCTCCCTTTTGCTCCTCATCTCCACTCCTAACCACATGCGCCTTTTATCTACCTCTCCTCTCCCTCTCCCAACGATGGTGACAACGGTACCGACAAGTACAGTGCTCAACAAAACGAAATAAACCAAGTGGCGGAGCCATTATATTACTCTAGGTTAGAGTAGCTCTATACGCTTGCACCGTACGCCAGAGCAACACCATACGCTCCTCAAGCGAGTTATACACGGTTACGCGAGCGAGGCCAATGCTGTGCGGCGGTCCATTTCGTGTTGTTGGGCACTGTGCATATTAACCAACTGCATTCCTCTCTCTCGCAACGCAAATACGTCCTGTCGCTGCTAAGAAGAGCGCTCTGTGACGGGCATCCGGCTCCTGGCGGCAGCGTGCGAGGCTCACCCTTGGCCTGCATCGGGGCACCGTGGGGCGTCCTGCGCTGTCCCTCCGCGTAGTCCGGTGGGGCTTCAGTGAGGAAGTTGGACGGCACCAGGCCCCGCAGCCCGTGCAGCTCGCCGAAGAAGAAGCCGTCTTCGTCCATGTCGCCGTACACGTAGATCACGTCACCCGTGCTGAAGGCAAGCTCGGACTGGTGCACATCGGGGGACGAAGAGGAAAGAAAAACAAAAAGAAAAAAGCGAAAGTCGTATAGCGAATGTCGCCACCCATTAGAAATAACCGCCGTACCTTAAATTGAAAACAAAGGACAAACAGTCATATGAACGGGAGGGTGACAGTTAAGATGTCCAAAAGACTCGATACAGCCGTTCTGATCCCTAATATATACAGGGTGTTTTTTAATCTTTAGATCTGATTAAAAAAGCCATGAAAGCTATACTTATGCGGTTGGTGCAAGTGGGTTATACGGCCAGGGGTACATTATGTGGGTGGCTACTTTTTCCAATAAGTCAGCTAATTAATTAAACTTCTTTAATTAACTTTTTAATTAATGAAATTAGACATATGCTTATAATTAGAAACTTTCTCAACGTCATCGAAAATGACTAAATCAGTAATTTTCAGAAAGACTTTGAGCGCGTGAATAGCGTAGTAGTGCACTAAAGACTCGTGGAGCAGGTACAAGGCTGGGGCTAGATAACATGGGGAAAAATCGTGCGGGCGCCTTACCGCAACCGTTAGTCTTGTACCTGCTTCAGGAGTGGTAACTTTGGTGCACTACTACGCTATTCACGCGCTCAAAGTCTTTCTGAATATTACTGATTTAGTTGTTTTCAATGACGCTGAGCAAGTTTCTAATTGGAACCATATGTCTATTTTCATTAATTATAAAGTTAATTAACGAACTTCAATTAATTAGCCGACCTATCGGAAAGTTTAGCCACCTACATAATGTGCCCCTGGACGTATAACTAACTCGCACAAGCCGCATAAGTGTCGCTTTCATGGATTTTTTTAAACAGATCTGCAGAGAATTTGAAAAAAAAAGCTGCATATACGTGTATATGTGCGTGTGCACGCCGGTTTTTACTTGAATTATTGTCGGCGCTATATCTGTCTCAAGTACAGGTTTCAAAGCTAAACTTAGCTCTTGGAGTAGTTCTTGTTATTTTCTGACCCACTCACAGCCATACACTTACCTACTTACAGAAAATAACAGGAACTACCCCAAGAGCTAAGTTTAGCTTCGGAGTCAGAACTTGAGACAGATATAGCGTTGACAATAATTGAAATAGAGACAAGCCTGCACACGCACATATACAGACATACCCACACACGCAAGCACGCACTCATGTACACAAAAGATATTACAGTCCAACACACTCACAGAGGCTTTCCCGTCCGTTTTTACTGTTTCGTAAGGGCCTATACCTGCTTAGGGGAGACGCAGTAAACCTAGTTATTCGGTATTTAAACAATTTACAACTTATACACGAGACGAGTCCCGAACAAACCAGTTCCGTGAATATCGATGGCGATGACATTCTTCGATAACTTTTACCGAGTCACAAAAAGACAGTCGCATAGCCACGAATTAGCAGACTCACCTTTCCTTCTGTAGTCTATTGCAAATTAGGAAAAGCAGGAGAAACTCCTCCAACAAAGTCCTCCAATCTTTACACCCTAGAAGAGCGAATGCTGGAGGGAACGCGAGTGGAGAGGAGGAAATCACCAATGGTGGCGATCAGAGAGCTTTTTTGGGAAGGCGTGGACCTGCTTTTTTAACCTGCAAGAGGTTATAGCGCGAGCTCTGATGGAGAATGCAAATGCTTTGCCAAGCGCCCTACAAGGGAGTCAGTTGTTAACGCCATATCCGCTGCTAACAGCGACAGCAACTTACGAAAGGATCGGGGTTTGGACTCAGTTCCGCCGGGTCGTAGTCATAGAGGGCCACCATCCGCTTGGGCTGCGGGGGCAGCACGCCACCGGCGGCCCAAGCGTCACCGTCGGCCCCTGCATCAACCGAGGCACGGGGACCGTATCAACACAACGGAAACAAGAAGGTCAAACCCTGTCGCGTGTACATTATCGTCAAGCTATGGAATCAAAATTAACAAAATTACGAAAAACAGCTGCGAAACCTACGTCGCCGTTCCCACGTGAATGCAACCTCTTTCTAGGTAAGACCTGAAGTCTACGTCGTACACAATCCAAACTGTGCAGGATTACTGAACGGAGGAGCAGTCATCATTAGTCTCCCATTAAGTGGCTGACCATAGAGAAAGACATTTTCATTTTCGGATGGGCATACAGCCCCAATGGCAAAACGGCGTCCATTTCTTTCACCAATATACATGCCAAAGTATAAGTATAACGGCCAAAAGGTCTAAATAACAACTACATACCCCTGTGCGGCGGTGGTCTCGACCTGGCTGGCGGTCCGGTTTCGGCCACGTCGCTGTCCATGTGAACCTCGGACACCATGTTGCAGGGCACGAAGCCCATGCGCCCGTTGGCCTCGCCCTTGTAGAAGCCGTCTTGATCTTTGCCTCCGTAAATCTGAATGGGGATGCGGACAGCCCAACAATTATGCGAGTCCTACTAGCTTTCCTCTTCAGCTCCCTCTCATTTTTATGCTTTTGTAGATTGTCACGTCACAAGAACACTACCACGACGACACCCACACCTTCTATTTGAACTCTGGGAACTTCAATGTCAAACTAAAGAACTCGTGAGTATATTGCTTGAGAGGCAATCTCGTCATTCCCAAAGGGCCATGTTTCCGGTACATTTTAATTGCAATAACGATTAATTACAACTAGAGGAGGTAACCCCTTCCTCAACAGTGAGCCCCTCATTCGTAAATCAGGTGACGACATGGCAAGGTCTGCAAGGTAAACGACAACGCCATTTCCCCTTTCTAGAATGTTCCAGTTCCGCAAAAGTATAGCTAAACTTTCGAATACCCACGCGCGATAAGCCACTGCATGAAACGTGCTTTCTCATAAGGGATACCAAGATATTTTTGGAAGGTTTTGTATAATTTAAATACAATATAAGCGACACGCCACGCCTATATTAATTGTTCCAGATTCCGTTGATCATCGGAGTTGCCTGGGTTCTGTCATATGAATAAGCGAGTCTGTACGCACTCCGCAACCGACCACTTGCGAGGCTATTGCATAGAGTCTTTGTACGTAAAAGCTGATTTCTCGTTGATAGAACTTCCTATCTCGTTTCTACTGAAAGCCCTATAACAACCGCAACCTTAAGCACGCGAAAGGAGTCGCTTACCTTTATAAGGTCCCCTTCCTGGAAAGGCAGTTCTTCGTCCGCCGTGTCTGGATTTGGAGACATGGTCTGCGGGTCGTAGTCGAACAGGGCCACGAACCAACGCACCCGTGGCTGGCGTTGCCCGGAGCGGCTCTCCGTCGATCTCGAGTATGAACCCCGCGGGTCGTCGACGTCGGAGAGGTGCCGCGACCTCGTCGGCGGCGTTGGCGACGTGGGCCGGGGTCGCTCCTGGTAGGACATCGGCGCGCCGCCATGCTGCTGCGGCTGCTGGTGATGGTGGTGCTGTTGCTGTTGTTGTTGCTGCTGCTGATGTTGCGGCTGCTGCTGCTGGTGGTGCTGTTGCTGATGGTAGCGAACGGATCCCGTGCTGACGGCGCCGTGCCCGCGCGTCCCGCGAGGAGCTCCTCGAGGTCCCATGTCGTACTTCGAAAACTCCTCCTCGGAATAGTTCTCCCCGATGCCGTAGCTTCCCTCCATGTCCTTGGTCATCCCTGGTTGGAAGAAACCAAGGTGCCGCGGACGATCTGTGATTTTGCGTCCACATTCCCGAAGACTCTTGACGTCTTGCAGACAAGCTATGCAAACAGTGTTCTGCTCCTATGTCACTTCGGTACGAAGGATGCCCGAGCAAATCAAGCAAGACAACAGGGCTTCAAGTTTAGTTACCACACATATCACAATTCGTTTTGAAATATGGCGCTAAGGTTATGTTTACATTGTGTAAATTTTGTTTCTTTCTCAAGCAACCCCTCTACAATATTCATAACATCTTCTGTCTGGCTCAGTGTCATGCTCCTCTATAAGTTATGCAGTCACATGGGGATCTCCTGACTAGCTTACTTTTAATAGGATTCGATATTGTGTGGGTTATGGAACAGAAAAAAAAAATCTATACAATCCTACTTTAAGAAAAAAAACTGGAATAAGTACAAGCATAAACCATCAACAACAGGTGCATGAGAATAAAAACGATTGTGCAAAATGTGCACAATGCAACGGAATTGCGGCATCTGAACGTTTCAAGAACAAAAATTCTCCTTACTTGGAAGAGGTGTGTCCCAACAGGGACGTTCTGTAAGAGCCTTGCGGTCGCACGACATTATTATCGAAACAAATTTCACTGTCTACCATCTATGAGGAAGGACTATCTAAATTATTGTCAACTCATAAAGGTCGGTCCCTCAAAGTCATATTACCTTAAAGGGGCAATGAAATGAATTTTGGGCTGGAATAAGTTATCATATAATGTGATATTACAAATCATAGATCGTTTACTGGGCCAAAAGAAAGAGGGTAAAAAGTCAAAAACCTGGTTTTCGGTACGAAAATTTGAACATATATTGGACTATATCGTACCTCTTTTACTTTAAAAGCTGTCTGCCTTTTCACTGTGATACATCCGCATTACCCAAAGCACGCAAGCCGGCCCCACCTCACGTATTGGACACGATCACTGCGTCACTCGGACGTATGCGCACGTCAACAATCAATTCGTCGACGAATAATTGGATTCGCGATAGTGGCCAATGAGTGCCGTGGCGGCACTTATCATCAACTGCAAAGAATAAACAGCACGGTGGAAGCTTGGAGTTATCGCATTCAGAAACCAACGAGGTCAAAGTCGACAACCTGAAACTACTCTTATTTCTGCCGATGAAAGCAAATTTACTCAGGGTGCCCAGTCGGAGAATGCCGACCACGTCGGCAAGAAGGCTGGGAGGGCTGTCGCTGTAGCTCAACAATAACCGACGATAACGCCAGAGGCAAGCGACAGCCCAGCCGACTCCGGGTGGCTGTCGCTTGCCTCTCGCGTTGAGCTGGCCAACCAGGCAAACTCTGTTGTGACTTTCTTCATGGTAGTAATCTCAGAGTGAGCGTACTTCCCGTTGCGGCGCAGCTTTTACTGATCTGTTGCCGTCACGACATTTCATCGAACCTTCCCTGACATCTACCAGGTGGTTTCCGGTTATTGTTTAATTAATAAAATGTGTTTTCTCGCGTTTTCCTACAAAACATTGGCGTTTGTGAAGTCCTACTTCAATCCGCTTCATGTTGAAGCAAAGAGATGAGTTCCAAAGTTTGATACCCATACCCCTTTAAAAAAAATGAAAGACGTTTACAAATCTCTGTAATGCGAAACTAGAGCGCAGCTCTTGAGAAGGAGGAAAAGGGGGCACAGAGGGGAGGGGAAGGTATGCCTCTCCTCCTTCCGTCCGCCTCTTCCTCTCCTCTTCCCGCTGAATTTGCTCTTGGGTGACGTGACACAAGGTCATGCGACGTCATCTTCCCCGCTAAATTTAGCGGGGAAACTGAATTGGTGTTGGGGTGACGTGACGTCAATTTCTCCGCTAATTTTTAGCGGGGAGGTCACGGGACCTCAACACCAATTCAGTTTCCCCGCTAAATTTTGCGGGGAAAATCACGTCACACGACTTCGTGTCATGTCACTCATGAACAAATTCAGCTTCTCAGCTAGATTTATGGGGAAAATTGACGTCACGTGACCTCAACACCAATTAAATTTCCCGTTAAATATAGCAGGGCGATTAAGCCGACGCCGACGGCGCGAAACAAGAAAGCAAGCGCCCAAGAACTGCGTTATAAAAAAAAAGTGAAAGCCGTTTACAACTTCCTGTAACGCCGAATTAGAGCGCAGCTCTTGAGGAGGAGGAGGAAAGAACGGTACTGGGGGGGGGTCCGTGACCTTGGGAAGGGAAGGTCACGTGACCGTCATTAATGACAATGACGATGCGGATACCGATGACGTCATCAGTGACTTCACCGATGACGTCATCATTGATGATGACGATGACGATGCCGGTGACGTAATCAGTGCCGTCACTGATGACGTCATCAGTGATGACGATGACGATGCGGATGCCGGTGACGTCATTGATGACGTCATCAGTGATGATGACGATGCGGATGCCGGTGATGTCATCAGTGACGTCATGAGCGACGATGACGTCATCGGGGGATTGCGGTCAAGTGACCTCGGGGGGTCACGTGACCTGGGAGTCACGTAACCCCCCCCCTTCAGGTCACGTGAGCCAGGGGGGGGGGGACTCCGCGGTGCATTATGGGACATTTCTCATAATGCACAGCGCGGTTACGCCGACGGCGACGCTACTCAAGCCGAAAACGGGCCCCTAAGAGCATCGTTCTAAAAGTGAAAGCCGTTTACAACTCCCTGTAACGCCGAATCAGAGCGCAGCTCTTGTGGAGGAGGAGGAAAGGGTACTGAGGAGAGGCTATACACCTCCTCCTCCTTCTCCTCCTCCTCCTCCCCTCAATCTTCAATCTCCTCCGGGGGGTCACCTGACCTCGGGGGGAGGTCGCGTGACTTCGGGGGAGGGGGTCACGTGACCTCGGAAAAGGGGGGGGGGGGGGTGTCACGTGACCTCGAGGGTGGGGTCACGTGACCCCCTCTCCCCGAGGTCACCGAAGGTAGCCGAGGTTTTCCCGAAGGAACCGCAGGTCCCCCCGAGGTCCTGCCGAGGGAACCCGAGGTTTTCCCGAGGTCCTCCGAGGTCCTCCCGAAGGACCCCGAAGTCCTCCCAAGGTTTTCCCGAAGGAACCCGAGGTTCTCCCGAGGTCCTCCCGAAGGAACCCGAGGTCCTTCGGGAGGACTTCGGGTTCCTTCGGGAGGACCTTGGGAGGACTTCGGGAGGACCTCGTGTTCCTTCGGGAAAATTTACCGATAATGCACCGCGCGGTTACGCCGACGGCGATGCCGACGGCGACGGCGACGCCGCTCAAGCCGGAAACGGGTGCCTTCAGATATGACTTTAGAGCACAGCTTTAAAGCTGTGCTCTAAAAAAAAAAAAGAAATGTGGTGTTTTGATTTTTTATTTTTTTTTTACAAATGCGGGGAGAACAAACTATATCGTGTGTATTTGTGTGGGTTAAGACGAATTAAACTTGGTTACGGCAACTTTCGGTGGTTTCAGATGCGTTGCACGCACGACAGACCACTTATGCGCTCCCCGAATTTATCAGAACGATCGACACAAGTTTCAATTTGTTCAGAAGTGGAGTGTGTGAAGGGCATAATGAAAGGTTTCCATGGGTTCTGCTTCACTTCTGCTTCTTGCGAGGGTGCCTGTAGTGCCTTCAGATATGACCTCTGCGCCCTGTGACGTTGTGAGATCACGCGCGGAGCACGCTTCGCCATTCGGGAGCCAGCGGCGCACGCCGACGATCGTTTACTACCGCAGGCTCCCGTGAGTCATACTTAGTCCAGCTGCGTGCGCTCCCATTAGGTTCCTCTTCGTGGTACAATGTATAGGAATACACGCGCAATCGAGTTTGAACGCGGTTAAGTACAGAGCGGCGTCCTTGAGGCAGGAAACAGTTACGGGCAGAACGAAGCACGTCGTCGCGCAGCACCTCGCAACGTAATGCAAGGGAGTAGGCAGTGTGGAGTTCCCGGAATGGAATGGGAATGGAATGGCGGCAACATTGAGGGGAGTGGAATCGGAATGGAAATAGATGCCTTTTGCCCGGAATAGAATGGGAATGGAATGAACCCGATTAAAGTTTTTGTGCGTCTTTACGGTCAGCTAATTGGAGCCAGTCAGCGAGTCAGTTGCTCAGAAATAAAACGAGCGGGAAACTGCTAGCCCGCGTAGAGCCCCAACAGGCTTATACGATTGCAATACAAAAAGCAAGCGTCAAAGCAATGAGCAGAGGAGGGAGTGTGGCGATGGCGCCTTTCACGGACGCGCAGGCGACGGGCTACACTGGCGTTACCCGAGAGCGAAACAGGAAACCAAGCACCAAGCAAAATAAACGAAGAGAGCGGCAAAGAAAGCAACCGCCATATCTTCATCGTCCTTTTTATGCTCATCGTCCTTTTTATCTTGCTTTTCTTTTTTTTCTTTTTTTCAGCTGCATGGAGAATGCACGCGCACAGACACTGAGATGTTGGTGGTGGTGGAAAACCTCTTTATTGGTCCTGCGAAAACCCCTACCCCTCCGTCACCCCTTCACCAACACACCTACGCACAGTCTGCCGGTGAAGCAAGCGCCGGGTTCGCTGGACGAAACCCCTTTGTCCCTCCAAGTCCACACACATCACACCATCCTTGAAGTCCTCCGGCCAGTCCTGGGTCCCCGATGCCTCATGCCCCCGTTGTTCACAGTCCCACACAATATGCTGCAGCGTTGCCCGACTGTCCTTACATACCCTGCACAAGTCACTTGGAGCGAGGTCTACTCAGAACTCGCAAAGCTCTGATTATTCGTTGACTAGCGCGCCGCCGAAAGATGATCAGTTATTGTTTTCTTATAGTTCGAGGAGCGTTGTTTAGCAGGCGACCAACCCTGCTGCCTTCCACGTTTATTCGCGCGCACTCCTTTGAAGTGCTAAATCTGGGTTTGCTTCAGAATTAAAACAAAGCAAGATTCACTTCTCTCTTCTCCTCTTGCGCTTTGCTCCGACGCTTGGTTTTTATACTGCATTTTTACGCGTAAGTCCGCCTTTTACTTGGTTCCTTGTTCCGATGCTTGTTTTCTGTGTTATATGTTTTACATTCAAGTGGGTTAGGGTTACAAGCAAGCTAGCGGATTCCCGCTAATTTCCTTTGACTTGCGATGGACCGCTGCGGACGCTACAAGTCACTCCAGGCTATCCAGCACCGTGAGCCGGACTACATGCACGGCGCGTTGCTGGGCCCCAGGGTCACGCGACACTCAGAAGGCACTGGATTGGTTTCGATGGCTCTAGTGCTGTCTGTGGCGGTCCATCGTAAGGTGAAGTAGATTATCGTCGCCACTCTTGCCGCGTGAACGAACTGACTAGACCTGCAGAAAGGCAGTTTCGTGACATGGTATATACGGTCCCTCGTTCTGCGCCGTAGAGGTTGCACTTTGTCAGAGGATGTGTTCTTGCCACAGTGCATGGAGTCGCTTCCAGCAGCGTACTAGCCGTGTTGCTGCGCAGGTATTTGAAAAATACGGTAATATAGCTTCTTTCTGCGCTACGCACGAACTGGATATTTTTATCGTCTTATCCAACAAACACGCTCGCCGCGTATGTCCTAAAAGTCAAATGCAAAAAAAAGTTTGCAAAACAAAAAAGAAAAGGAGTGGATTTAAGTTTTGCTGTTTGTTGCGAGCCACGTGGTCGAATGGCCGATATCCTAAACAAGCATCAACATATCGGGGCTTCTTGATGTTTGCAGTACAATGTAAACAAACACGTTGTGCCCCCAGCGTGCTTAGTAAAATCGGTGCTTTTTTGAGGCATTTAGTATTTTTTTTTTTTGCAACTGTCTATCCGTTTGATATTGTCAACTTTATGCTACTTATGCCGGCAAGTTTGTTTCACCAATGTAGTTGTCAAGTGCCAATTTATACCTGTAGGAATTAGAGGAATGGAATGGAACAATTCAGCCATTTCAAGAGTGGGAATGGGTCCAGTGTCCCCAATCCTAGGAGTTTAAAGGAATTGAATTAAAGAAAGCTCTAATTCCCTGGAATGGAATTGGAATGGAATGGGGGTGCCCACTCCGGCAACACTGGTAGACACTAGGGAGTTATCGTAGACCTGCGTTTCGCCCTCCGCTAAGCCCTCCGCAACGAAGGAGCCGCTACTGCGCCTGCGCGCCGATGGCCTTGACTGTTGAGTTCGGGGTATCGTAGCGGGTTGGGGAGAGCCGTTGCGAGACGGCGACAACGATCTACGAAAACTCTCTACTGGAGCAACCTTGGGCGCGGCAGTAGTGGCAGCGTGTTGCGGTAGACCAATCAGAAGCAGACAAAGGAAGTGAGGGTCATGTGTCCGCTCGCGCCCGTCGATGAGACTTATCCGGGCCTCCGTTCGGGCCTTGCTCTTTTTTTTTTTTTTTCGTTTTGGGGCCGCGTTTTGCCCTCCATTCCCGGCGCTACGGCAGCAGGTTTTTCTACGGCTGCAGTGGACGCTGGGCAGGGTTCCAGAGAGCGCCACCGTCGGTTGATCATCAGCGCCACCTGGCCAAATGAGGCAATACTGGAAGGGCTAACATCGGCAGTTCCTACGGCGTACCCAGGCGAGATAACGTTATTATTAACTCCGAGCGTTGTGTTGTCGCGCGCTACACTACAGCACTACAGACTGTTTTAAGAAGTTATCAAACGTTAAATATACAAATGTGCATCCGTGGTAGTCGTGTCGTTCTAGCATTAGGGAGTTTTAGTAGGTGCCTTAATCGATAGGTTCAAACAACTCAAAACGGGAATTAGAAAAGCGCAATTGAACACACTGATATTACGGTTAAATATAAGTGAGGCCATGTAAACAAAAGCATTTTTTTAACGTTGTGTGCGCGCGCCTTAAAGAAGCTGTGCAACGATTTTAACATTGAAAGAATTGGCATCTTATAGTTCTGACATTGTTTATCTTGTCACAAAGGACAGAAAACACACCTCCTTCCTTGTGATTCCGCCGAGTAATGTTGCGATTCCGCCACGTAATCGCGAGGCAAAGATTAGAATATTCCCCCGACCTGCAGCCGCGAGTGGCGGCCATGAGAACCGCGCTGCATGACGTCAATGGGGTCTTGCAGAAAAAAAAAATAGCAAGTTGTGCAAATACCTGCTCGATAAAAGGTAACTTTTCAATAAATCCTGTCTTTCCAACATAAATATAAGCGCGTCAAAAACCTGGTATCATCGACAAACTTTTATTATACGGAGTTTTAGTGGCGCCATCTATCCGCGAACAGTCGCCAGAAGCCGGAGGGGGACGGGGATGGCCGGACCCGGATGAGACTTTCCTCCTTTTACCATATTGTTCGCGCCCCGCCAGCAAGTGGTCACCCGTTCGCGAGCGGATGAGTTTTCGCTGCTCACTGATGGCTCAAGAGAGAGAGCTTCACCTGAACCCCGCGCGACCCCCTTTGACGTCACAGCGCACGTGACTCGGAAGATGGTAAAGGAATTGAGAGGTGCCGAAAAGCTCAATCTTCGTCCATCTTTAAAATAAAAACTAGGACATGCAGGCAAAAGCGGTTTTTTGTTCTTTACTTCAGAAAGGTCGAGACAGACACCAACTCCCAAATTATTTAAGCAAAGTACTGAAATTGTTGCACAGCTCCTTTAAAATTACAAAATCAAAGACTTCGTCGAGCTTCCCTCTTTTACAAAAGCGGAACTAAAAGCGCCCCCCCCCCCCTCCCTTACCCTCACCTACCCTTTGTTTCCGAGTAAACTCTTTCCGCATGAATAGCTGACCTCATTTCTGGAATCAGCTTGTTTCCCGTCCCCTCGTCGTATTGTTGAAGATGATTATGGTGTCCGAGGAATGTGTTTATCGTGCAAGCTGGCTGTAGTTTGGACGGTGTCGTACGCAGTTGCTCGTCGCAAGCTGATACTCGGTCTCGTCGATTGAATATGATGTTCTCCATCACATAGAATAGAAATCAACGTCGCTGGGATAACCTTTTCTCGTGGGGTAAGCATATTTTTTAAAATAATTTCTTGAGTAGACTGTTTTTTCGCAGCGGGGACGAACTTAGAACCGCATAGGTATACGGGTCAAAATAGAGCAACCACCTTGGGCAGGTACGCGATCACGCTAAAGGCGCAAACGACAGTTCGCTCTGCAACCAGCGAAGCGGAAAAAAACGCTCGCTTCGGCCTTCGGTAAATAGGAGGTAAAAGCGCTAAAAAACGACGGACAAGTTGAAGAATGACGAACACCACAGAGCGCTCTGTGGTGTTCGTCATTCTTCAACTTGTCCGTCGTTTTTTAGCGCTTTTACCTCCTATTCATGAATAACCAACTAGCCCAAGTACACACCCTTCTACAGGCCTTCGGTAACTACGCTCAAACGCCCACAAAACGTCGTTCGATCAAGATGTGTCCACGGAGCAGAGAGCGATGAGAGTGTCAAAGGACCGATCTGACTCTGAGTTATCACGTCAAATCCAAAGACAATGCCTGGATTCGAGCACATTTATTCCAAATATCGAGTCACATAGCGCATTTAGTAAAACATCTCAACTCAGGCAGTGTATTTAACGCGTTTTACGGCATAGTATTTATCTGCGACGACGTGGTATTTTACACGGACTCGACAAGAACCTGCGCAGCTGCACGCCTGCTAAGCTTCCGGGGTTGCGACAGTCCGGTACGCAGCAGTGCCTACATCTTCAACGTTTGGTCTTCTGCGACATCCGATAGCAGTGGTAAGAATAAAAGACCAAAAACGCACGAATCTACATCTTTAAATTAATGTATCAACAGCCCTACGAGCAAGCAGGCTATCGAAAGAGCCCGCCAAGTGTTGTAAATATATCGAGCTAGATGGCGCGACGTATCACACCAAATTTGATTGACCTGAGGGTATGGTCCAAGTTGGACAGAAGTTGCGGAAGCCTGCTGGATCGTTCCCAGATCGACCACTTCGGCGCTATCGCTGGGCTTGCCATGTTGCCGAAGATTTCGCTTGCTATTGGCGAGGCGCGCTAAGGACGATAGCGCGTTTTTATCGGCTCCGGAGAGCATCGACCGCGTTTCAACGCAACTGTGTGTACAAGCTATCCGAAAACGCCCTACGCAACACTCCGCGTCTGCCTCCAGCAAACTGAACGCATTGCGCTCAAACGCAAATGCGTGTATGGGCCATGAAGGGGTCGGGCTGTGGATCGCACGGCCCGACCCCGTTATCATTCCCGCTGCGCCGCTTGGTAAATCCCGCTAATTACAATTAATTATGTTGAAGCATGTTTAAGTACGATTACTTATGACTAAGTATGCCTTCATTAAATACTTTCAATGCCTATGCATTGCCTGCAACGGCCCATGCGTGATTCATGCTGCCTTGGCCGGTGTGTAATGGTTTTTCGTTACGTCCAAGTGTAACGCTTTTCGTACCATAAACTATAAATAAGGACCTTTAGCAAACCGTTGCCGTGCTCCGCGTACCGCACTACCGGAGCCTTTGAAGCATGCTTGTAAGCGCGCGCGCCGCGGTCACGGTACCACCCGGGCGCGCGCTTAAAAGCATGCTTCAAGGGCTCCCTCCGGTAGTGCGGTACACGGAGCACGGCAACGGTTTGCTAAAGGTTCCTAATGAAACGAGCGTTGAATGCGCACGCACCAACAGCGGGGATGCTTGGCCCCCTGTAGTACGGGTAGATCTCCTTGTCGCTCAGGGCGTCGTCGGGCTCGATGATGAGCTGCCCGGCCGAGTTCCGCTTCTCCCGGCGGCCGCTGCCGTGCATCTGTGACCCCTGCACCTGCGGCGGCTGCTGGTGCATCGCCACGGGCTGCCCGTGCTGCATCTGTTGCGGCTGCTGCCCCGTATGCTGGTGATGGTGGTGGTGGTGATGGTGGTGCTTCCGGGGACTCATCCCCGAGCCTCCGCGGGAGCCACGGCTGCCACGGTGACCCAGCTGAGCGGCAAACACCAAAGGACAAAAGGGGCAATGAAGTGTCTCAAACAGTTACCAGCGACATTCACTTCCTATCCCATAACAAATGGACGGCAATACTTAGCATCACGTAACCTGACGTCATGGTATCACGTCACACCACGAGTTGACACCAAGCCATTTTTTTCCCGTGACGTGACGTCCATTTTGCCGCCCAGCTGGAAAATCTTGCGTCACATAGTTTGACGTCGCGCGACGTCGTGACGTGGCGTGACGCCATGGTATCGCGAGACCTGGCGTCACGGGATGTCAATTTCTCCGCTGCATTTAGCGGGAAAATAAACGTGAGGACCCGCGTGATATAATACGGGGCCTGACGTCGTGCGACGTGGTCGCGGTGTCACTTGATACATGATGTCGCGTGACATCAATTTCCGCGCAAAATTCGGCGGACAAATGCGCGGACGGACGGGAAAATGTCCGGAATAGGCGTTTCCCATAAAATATTTCTTTTAAAAAAAGTAACTAAACCACAAAAAAGGACAAGGCGAGATTCCACGCTCCGTACAAGACGTCTAGGTCTCAGTCAAAGCAAAATATCGGCACGTCATGATTCCTTCGAGCGAGCGATTTGTAAAATAAAAAGGGGTCCTGGTAGCACTACGGACAGATTTATTAGAACGTTACCGCAAGCTACTCTGGGCACGGCAGCGGCCTTGGCACGTGCTTAAGAGCAAGCTTCGAAGTCGGAGCACGAGCTCCAGCTAACAATACCACTCCATACGATACGCTGTGCTAAAATCTTGACTTAGAGAGCATTAATATAGCGTTATAGTCTCCGCCACGCCGAAACCGGGACGGAAACGTAACGCAACATAAACCTTTTGCCCGACCTTCATCTCATAGCGCGAAGCGAAAAAAAAAAAAAAGTGCTATAGCGTAACGGTGGGCTAACATGTTTTCTTCAAGGAATGTTCCCGACTCGCTTCGGCATGACGAAAACGCTTAATGTGTTATCGCCATGATTGAGTAACTGTAATATTAGGCACTTTCAGCAAACCGTTAACCGTGTTCCGCGTACCGCACTACCGGAGCCTTTCAAGCATGCTTTTAAGCGCGCGCCCCGGGGTCACGGTATCAGCGCTTCAAGGACTCCGGTAGTGCGGTACGCGGAACACGGTTAGGGTTTGCTAAAAGTGCCTAATATTACAGTTACTCAATTCCAAACGACGTTCTTATCAGTCGAACACAGTGATGCAAGGAAGACGCAATTCAGTTCATGTGCGAGCGATAAAGACAAACGAATTAACAATCGTGTGCGACAGTTAACTGTTCCAACGCCCAAGTTCGTACCCCATCGGACGAATGAGGGAGCGTTTTTGATGGCCTTCTAAAAACCTTTAATCCATTACGCCTGTATCGTTGTCGCAAACGAAGCCGGAACAAAAGTGCGTCGTGTTGCAATTAAAACGCTGGACTGGTACCGACTGTCAAATGCCGTTACGTAAACGTCAAAAAAAAAAAAAAGAACGCGGACAGTTGCGATTGTTTGAACTACGCATGCGTTTCTGAGCGTTTCTCAAACTGCACCCTCTAAAACAAAAAAAAAAAGAAAAAAAAGAAATGGTGGGTTCATCTCCTTGCTTGCAGTACCATATCCTCCATTATTCTCGAAAGCCGGTCACATCGACGACGGAGCCATTGCGCGCGTATGCGCCGAAAAAAAGGCGAGGAGCAGCGCCGGACGGTTACCCATACGGTAGCGCAGAGCCACTTCTGAGCTCACCCTTCAGCCAGTGCGAACGGTGCGCACGGTTGCCTTTTCGCATAATAGAGAGTTTTAGTAGATCGTTCCCATGACTCCGATAACGATATCCCGATACTCCGCCACCGCCTCCCTTGCGCATGCATAGTATCGTTATCGGGGCTATCGGAGGTATCGGAACGATCTACTAAAACTCTCTAATGACAACGAACCGCAATGGAGAAAAAATGAAGAAGGCAACCGGCACACTGACAAACGAGAGAGGGGCGGAATAGAGAAGGGTCAAATAAAAAAATAACCTTCTTTCCTGAAAAAAAAAAAAGAAAAAGGAACGCGTTTGTGCTTTTGGTTTTTACCGCTGGGGCATTGTATGGCGCTGACTGAGAGAGCCCCTGCGCGCGCCCTCTTCTCTGATCTCCTTTCACCTTTACGGCGGCCACGTTCTTTTGCTATTTGACAGGTTTTCTAGAATAAAAGAAGCTATGGCAGTACTCGAGAAAAGCTTATCACCGCAATTCTGAGCCCAAAAACTACCACCTGCGCTGGAACAATGCGCAAGTGCTCATTGTTCCAGCAAACACACGATCAATGAGCAAGCTTACGAAACGCAGGGAGTGACATTTCTCACGCTTCACGCCTCGTTTCTGGGCGTTGTTTTCGGCGAAAGCAGCAATCCCATTTGCTGCAAAGGCAGCGACTCACTCACCGTATACTCGGCGGGAATTTAGATGCGAGTATTTTTATACCGGAAAATAATTTAAATATCTGTGCCAGGACTAACATATCCCATATCTGGTTGGTACGCTCCCACCCTTCTGTCCGCAAAACTAAAAATAAAGAGGGTGTCTGTAAAGCGCTCGATCAAAACACGACGATTTTTTCTTCTCTTTTTTTTTTTTTTTTTTTTTTATTCTATGGGTATACACACGATGAAAATCCAACGATTAATGTTTGGGAATTCTCTAATGTGCTGATGCAAGTCTACCTTAAAAGTCCCCGTGAAAAGTATCGAGTTTTAATTAGGATACACAATTCAGATCAAAATTGGAGCTTCTTTAATAAATAGAGACTGACCCTATTAACTATACCATCACTGACAGCATATAGCGAAGAAATGTGATGCTCGTGATTACTTATAGCTCCAATTACAGCGGTGGATAAACAAAAAAGTATTCCTGCCAGGTTTTCGTTTTTACGCTGTTGAGAACTTTGAGACATTTTTACCGTGGAAAAGTAAGTAGGAGGGAAGGAACACCCAAGTTTAACATCAAGGTTCAACCTACTCCAGTCACCGACAGCTTCGAAAACACAGGGCGTGGCCTCTATGTGACGCTGACGCGTCTCGCTTCGCCATTGGCTCTTTCGCATTCTTCTCGGCCAATGCGGCAATCTCATTGGCCGCGGAGCGATAATGAGATGCTCGGGACTCGCCACGCCCTGTGTTTTTAAAGCTGTCAGTGACTATACTATACGGGTAGAAACCCAGAGAGAGGAGGAGACAAGAGCGAGCGGGGACGTTAGAATACCGAGCTCTGGTTGGAATGATTACTGTGTATAGAAGCAAAGCCTTTGCTCTACTCATTCTTCGAACGCGTTCGAATGGTGGGTAGAAACAACGGCAGCCGGCTTTGCCTCTATACCCACTAATCCGTCCAATCAGAGCTTGCCGCTCTGGGGTCCCCGCGCGCTCTCCTTTCCTCCTCTCCCCCGGTTTCTACCCGTATAGGCACACACGTACGACCAATCTGAAATGAACGCCGCATAGTGCCTACCTCTCCGTTCTCGAGCATCTCGTCCTCAAGCTCTTCGACGATGTCTGACAGCTCCGAGTGGTTCTCTTCGACACGGTCCACAGACTGCACGCCGCACAACGCGGGGAAAAAAAAAAGCAAAAGAAATGATACTTTCGGTGGCCGCAGCCACGTTTTCGCATCGAGTGCGACGGACACTGGATCATAGCGATTGAGAGAAAGAGGTGACATCAAACAGGAAGCGACACAGAAACAACACTTTGTGTGCATCACCGAGTATGATACGTGTCAATAACAACAGCAGGCATGCTTCAGAGACGTTTCAGGCTGTGGGATTTCACTCGCTGTTATGCCCATCTCGAAGAATAACACGACGCACTGGTGCAAACGACATGTAGACATTAAATCACCGTAATCGCCCGCGCCACCATCCCGAAAGCCTCCGCTCGCCGCTCGTAGGTAGCGACGGCCTTTTATCAGCGGCAGAGCACCGCTCGCGTGACCAATTCCACTTGGGCCACTCGCGGTAGAAATGACTCTGGACGATTTGGAATGCGGGCCAGCTGGTCCAAAGCTCTGGATCCCCAGGTTGCCCTGAAGGTGCAGGGCTGTCAGAACCGCTCGAACTCAGAAAAGTATGTCAAATCAAAATTGCACAATGTGCCGTGTGTCTGGGAGAAAAGAGAACAATATATTTTTCTTACTGCAGAAATATACCACGAATCGTCGATCACTAAATCTCCACCCAAGTGTAAAGCTACAAAGGAGGACAAGGTAACTGAGCTACAGAAATCACAACTATCTGGTTAAAAAGCTATCGCTTTCACAAGAAAATGGCGACGACAGGAAGCCCCAAAGACACGGAGATGAATGGCGTCTGCTCATGGAAATAGGCCCCATTTTATCAGACAAAATTTACACACAAACACACACACACCTGTTTTCACCAAAGGTTTTTTTCTTCCCGGTTATATATATATATATATATATATACTATAACGTGTTAAACTATACCAACAATGTTATAGTTCAACAATGTTTTTTCGCGGACGCGATCCTGAATGGTTGCCATCAGGGGCGCAATGCCCGTGCCCAGTATTCGAGCCGCATACGATCACCATAGATCACAACAAAGCTTTGAAAAGAAAGGATGGATGGCCCGCTATACCTATTGCTTAATTTTTCAACGGAAGTCCTGTTTCTGGCTCTCTACTCCTATTCGCAAGTTTCAGCGATAGTGGTACCGAGGCGTGTGAATCGCGCTCCCTAGCTCCTGGATGATTGGCCTCATAATAAATGGGCTTGCCTACACCTTCCTGGCGTGAAAATACAAGGCAAGGCTCTAATACTGCTCGTATATAGCAAAACTAGAATACCTTACGCGTTTCAGACCCAGCCTCGTACTGCTGTTCTACAACGATCATCCAGATGAAAGCCATTTTGACAGGCACCCGTGCGCCACCTATAAGTCGTAAAACTTGCGAATGGACAAGCTTCAGTAGGCGCTTGGTGAATTTGAATTTTATGAACAAGTACGTCCAAGATGGTGCGCGCTTTGACGTCTTTGAGTAAAATATTTCGGAGCATGGCCGCCAACCTAGTTTGGCGACGCGGTGCGGCGCCGGCATCTACAATGGACCATGCAATGGGAGCCTGCTATCAAACGGCGGCGCGTCACCGGAGGCCGCAGCAGACTACCTAATAGGAGTGGGCGCGTCTGGATGTGGGATGCGCCATGAATAAAAAGGGGCAACGCGTCGCCGGCATCCAATAGGAGCGCCCGCTGCACGATCAAACGAAGGAGGTACTTGGATAAGTCAGGATATCCAGTGCTTTAAGCTTGAGTGGTTATCTTCAACTACCCACAAGCTAGGTAAAAGCTGGTAAAATTGGAACACTTAATATCGTACGATGGTCTCCTTAAATGACTCAATAAATTGGGATTATTTTCAAATTGAATCTCGAAACATATATACTCCAAAACGTACTTCTTTACAACTTACAAATATTCGCTGAAATCTGGACAAACTTTACACTTCGACTACCTCCCTCAATCTCGCTTCTTCCCCCCCCCCCTTCTCTCTCTCTCTAAAAGAAATATGGTAGCCCAAAGCTAGTTTATATATTACAAAATAGTTATTATATCCAACTGGAAAAAAAAAGATCCATCGATTGTCAGGGAGGCAGAACTCTTTAGGGCATATTCTAAACTTAAACAAACAAGATCCGCTAGCCAGCGCAATGAAACGAATCCTGGTGATTTTATCTCAAATCGTGCAAGGAAAAATAACGAATCATCAAAAAAGTTTGAAAAAAAAATTTTATATACGTTGGTGGGAAATGTGTGACTAGAACAAAACTGCAAATTCGAACCATGGAAAACTTTTTTGTTTTTCAGTTTATGGCTTCGAAAGGGCGGAAGGTAGTAACCATGTTCAATTAACCTGAGACTGGGGTAGAGAAGAAACATCAAAACGTAGAAGGGAAAGAAAATAGACAGGACGACGTCTCAAACTCCGTCTCAGGTTAATTGAACATGGTTAATATTCACCAGCTCGCCCGCACCCTTACAATTTTTTCTAGCGGAAGGTAGGTCTTGCGACTTTTTGCAGCTTTCACGAGTGATAGATTTTAGAATCTCGCAAAAATCAAATTTTTTTTATTATCTTTTTTATGCTAGAGCATTAATTCTTTTATGTAGCGAGCGGACGTCATCAGCTTTGAAGCCGCGCCAAACCGCAGCTAAATTCACTTCTCCCAATGTAGCGAAGTAAAGCCGCGATCTGACGCCTCCCAGCTTTGAAGCCGCGCAAAAAGCCACGCAAAACGGCACCTGAATTCCCCTCTCCAAAAGTGAAGCCGAAATCTGATGGATAGGCCCCCCCCCCCCCTGGCTGGCGCGTGTCAGTTTCAACGAGCGCCACCCTATGGCGCTGTGGGCCTGCACCGCCAGCGCCCCGGTAAAAGGAATCGGCTGGCTGCGGGGCTCCCAGAGCCCGCTCGGGCAGACTCCAGAGTGGTCGCACGGCCGATGTCAGCGCGGCGCGACCACTTCACGAGAGCGCGCGCAGGAGCAACATTCATGCTTTCGCATTCACAACTCATAAGTGCCTAGGTGTACCTCGAACCTTTTTTTACAAACATAACATTTTTTTACTGTTTTGAATCTATCTATAGAAGGGCCAAAGTTCTCTAGAAGTGTGTGTTTTTTTTATTTCATTTTATGAAAAAATAATTATTGAATTTTGCACCTTTGAAAATAATGGGCCAAGTTTGAGCTAGCTTTCGATGTACAATTATTTAGGACTAAAGAAACATAAGATTAAAACTTGTATTTGGACCTACTTAAAAATTGTAATATTGTTAATTTAAATCTAGCCTATATAGAAGAGGCAATAATGTAAACTTAAGAAAAGTTCAAAATAGAAAAGTCATCGTCATTAAACATATCGTTATTTTTATTTTCTTACATGAAAAGTGTTTTGTGTGCTTTTAAATATACCGGGTGAAACAAGGAGACGGTAGGCTCTTTAAATCGACCGGAAAATTCGGTTTCTTAACCTATCGCGCTACGACTTTGTGCAGCGTCGCCCACAGATGGTGCATTTTTTTTTGTAAAATTTGCAAAGACCGAACTTACCTGAGGACAAAGTAAAGAAAGAAAAAGGCTTAGCTCCTATGGAAACGCAGCGACGCCACCGGTCTGCAATCAACATGGCGCCGTTTTGCACGGTAGACAAGAGATGGCGCAACGAACGCCGCCAACGAATGAGCGTACGGCGCCGAGAGCCAGCGTTTTTAGCAGACGATCTTTTCGAATCAAAAGCGGCGCGCGTTCCGCAAACGGCGACAGTTGCAGAAACAGAAACAGGCGCGGTAACAACAAGCAACTGCAGTTCCTTGTCTGCTAAAAACGCCGGTTCTCGGCGTCGTCTGCTCGTTCGTTGGCGGCAGTTGGCGTCGCGACCGCTTGCGCCATCTCTTGTCTACCGTGCGAAACGGCGCCGTGTTGATTGCAGACCGGTGGCGTCGCTGCGTTTCCATAGGAGCTAAGCCTTTTTCTTTCTTTACTTTTTCCTCAGGTAAGTTCGCTCTTTGCAAATTTTACGAAAAAAATGCACCATCTGTGGGCAACGGTGCACAAGGTCGTAGCGCGATAGGTTAACAAACCGAATTTTCCGGTCGATTTAAAGAGCCTACCGTCTCCTTGTTTCACCCGGCACAATAAATCCCTTTGACATGTGTTATTTCGTCACAATATGCAGTGCGTTTGAAAATAAGCCATAATTGCACCTCTATTTTACGACACATAACTCTGTCACTTCCTTTTTACAGCGAAGCTGTTTATGGCTATACTTCGTTTCAGTTTCGGTCCAGACGCAGCCGATGCTAAAAGCGCGCGCATGTGGCCCAGAACAGTGCTTGCACTGCACGAGCGCGCGTGCTTGGCAGGGATGCTGAAAGCCCGGAGCTCGCGCTTGTAGCTTTGGCTGCGTCTGGACCGAAGCTGAAACGAAGTATAGGGTACCGTGGATCTGTCCTGTGCGTGACCAAACACTACGCTCGCACCACACCCACTCGCCGCACGTGCTGGCGCATGCAGCAGTAACTGTTTTAGAGCTAAAGCCTAAAACAAATGGCATCTTGCACACGGGTTCATCAACGCTTTATTTCGGTTATTTACTCGGAATATTTTATACGGGGAAGGCGTGCACGTGCGCCGCATGGAACACCAATCCCCGCATTTTCCTTGAAGCTTGGCCCTTGCCGATCTCCATATTCAATTTCACTTCTCTCCTCGTTATGGGGAAGCCGCGTAAAGTCCGAACTCCCGAAGAGCAACTGGCCTACGAAGAGCGACGGCGGGAACGGCAACGAGCATGTTAGCGGTGACGGCGGGCGGCACGTGTGCGTGCGTACCTTTCGTCACGATGACCACTAATCAAGAAAATAAATGTGTTCGTACCTTCGTTCAAAATTCTGTGTCACACCTGTGTCGTGTGCTAAACAGCTTCGCTGGTCATCCAACTTCGCAGAGTGAAATGGCTCCCATTTTTTATATATTAGTTATTTTTTATCATGATCGTAGTTTTCATAGGTTTCGAGTACACATCCAGTTCGGTAAAACTGGTACATGCATCGTATTGATAGACTAAAATGGTAAGGGGTTCTTCCGCACGTTCAGTTTGCTTACTTAGTAAACTACCGATATTGATACTGACTTAAATTACGTTTAAGCGTTGTCATATCAGATTAACACGCATATATAGGACGTTTGACAGGTTTTCCGTAAGATAATAAAGCATTTGTAGACAAAATCTTTTCAAAGCAACGCCCGCCGAGTCCGTCAATCCACAGCTATAGCGTGCGTTTGGCGTGAGCCGAGGAAAGGCCCCTCCGGGCTCTGCGGCTGCCGACAGCTCCGCCCGCACAACGGCTCGACCCCGCTAACGATGTAGACGCGTCGTCGTCCCACTTTGTGTTCTCGCTAGTTTGAAGGGAAACTCAGTCGGCGGAATGTCCGAAATGGGACCCGCGAAAAGCCGCTAGGCTCTTCCGCCGGACCGCCGCCACTGAAGGACGCGAAACGCGGCTTGCCCGTCGGCTTTGGATGGAAAGAGAATGTCGCTGGTAACAAACTTGGTGACTTTAGATACATAAAGTCCATGACCAAAATCACTTGACTACTCTAAAACTCGGCTAAAATCTGCTTTTTTTTTTGTTTGTGTTTTGTCGTTCAACTTAAGTTTGCCAGATGAGGAAAGCGTATAATGTTTCCTTGTTTTGTTTTGATTTGTCATAATTCAACCGATTAACAGGTTAAGAATTTGATCTCAAATTAAAGCATTAATCGATTAATCGGAGCGTTAATCGATACATCGCCCACCCCTAATAAATATTGCGTAGAATTTTTGACAAACGCCCCATATCCTTTCATCTTAGGTTGGCGAGACAAATATGTATTTTCAAACGCACCGCGTAATATAACGAAACCATATATGTTAATGAGGATTTTATTGAACATTTAAAAGCGCACAGAAAAGCTTTTAATATAAGAAATAAAACTAAATAAAAAGTATACTCATAAAATTACATTGAATTTTGTACATTTAACTTCGCTTCTCAAGTTTTGTGTTGTTGCTTCTATATAAACTATATTTGAATTAGCAATATTATTATTTTTAAACAGGCTTAGATACAAGCTTTCATTTTAGTTTCTTATGCCTTAAATAATTGTATATATAAAGCTAGTTCTATTCAAACTTGGCTCATTATTGCCAAAGGTGCAAATTTAAATAAATTTATTTTATAAAATAAATAAAAAAAAACACTTCTGGAGAACTTTAACCCTTCTATAAAAAATTGTAAAGCAATAAAATAGTTATAATTGTGAAAAAAAGAATCAGAACGTTGCTAGACTCCTAAATGTGTCGTTCGTGAAAGCTGCAAAAATCGAGACCTATCTTCCTCCCTTTCGAAGGCAAAAACTAAAGAGTAAAGTTTTTTCATAGTTCTAATTTTCAGTTTTCTAGTCACATTTCACACCAACATATATTCTTTAAGAATTTTTGAGTATACATCGTTTTTCTTGCACGATTTGGGATTAAATCACCCATCCATAGCATGTGCAGAATCAAGCTGGAGCGTATATAGGAGATCAAGACTAAACACAAACAAAACTCCTACGAGCCTCACTTTCAGCAGAGCATACGAAACACCAATTGCTGCGATCTATAAAAGTGGCGAGCTTAAAGAACATGTTATAAACCTCAACCGCGGCAACCCTTAGAACGCTGAAACCATGCGACATCAGATTCAGTGTCCGGTGCATGTCTCAAAGCTAGATAAAGATGTTTATTAAGGGTGTGTGCGGATATTCCAAATTTTAAATACGAATCGAATTATTTTTAATATTCGATTCTGGAATTCACTAGTCGGTACTTGGGAGAATATTCGGCGGCAGTCGAATATTCGACACAGTAACGAATATTCGGGTAGAGAACGAATGACCTGCACATGAGGTGTACCGCAAACGCGCAGAGCCTATATAAAAAAAAAAAAAAAGTTAATATACCGTCATCGCTTCTCCGACAACCTCATGCAAAAAACCTGCCAACGCTGTAAGCCTGTAGGCGTATAGGACAAAAACACCGCGCGCGCCCAAGCTCGCGGGCACACCTCGCCCATCCGCACGCTTGCGCATCTCTGCAGCGGTTGGGCGCAAAAAAGCAGGAAGAAACAAATCCTGCTCGCAAAAGCATTTATCGCGTTATAGACCCACAAAGATTGTTTTTTTAATTTTTTTTAATGTTTGAGAAATAATTTTATTTGAAAATACTCTTTTTGGAGAAGAGCTCAATAAAACATTACTAGCAGTAGTTCCTGTTTTTCCATGCTTAATGCAAAATTAATTTAGAATTTTCTGAATTACATTTATAAACCATTTATTTTCCGAACTTTTGCATCTCATGCAATTCTTCGGGGCTATGCCCATTTTGGCTGCATAAAATATTTACTGAGCTCCAAAGATGTACAAGCTGTGCCTAATGTTCTGACTAAAATATTGCTGTTTTTATAGTTATCTCGATATTTAATATTTCATTCGATACACAAAGTCAGCTTTTTTGCATTCTTCATATTCGATTTGTATCATAAAATTTTGATATTTTCATACCCCTAATGTTTATTCAACAGCCTCATTAGCCCGAAGAAAGAAACTCACTCAGTCCACAGAGAAACGTTTCTAGGGCACCTGAATACAAAGTGCGTTCACGTAGAGATGCACAAGAAAGGCACTGTTGACTTACAAAATCGGATGGTGAACTATGACATAGTATGCAAACAAACAAACACGCGCCCACTGAAGTGCGTTCAAGATACCAGGTTGTGAAGACAGGCGACACTTGGGGAAATAACATCCTTCATTCAGACATGTGCGAACAAATGTAAACAAGATGTGCCGCAGATATCTTCACAATCATCATTGTTCAAAGGAATTCGGTAAGAGTCGTTAGATTATATAACTTGGCGCTTTACTCCCGGAAATATACTGAGGTAGAAAGAAGTAAAAGCGGAGAACCCGTTGCATTACGTCAAGCGACACCATGGAGGTTGGAAGCTTCTGGAGGTGACATGGCGCCACCAGAGGTAAAGCCAGAAGTGTGGAGGGAGACGCCCCCAACGACGACAAAAACCACAGCTCTTTCGATCACCCTCGGGTGCACCCCAGGGTGACTAAAACAACTGCGGTATCGGTCATCGTGGGGGGCGTCTCCCTTTACACTTCTGGCTTCATCTCTGATGGTGTCATGTCGCCTCCAGAAGCTTCCAACCTCCATGAGCGACACCACGATTTTTATTTGTATGGATTTATTGTATGGGAATCTCCGTTTCACTTTAAATGGTAACGTAGTAAACGTTACAAGAGGGATCTTGAGGCTCTCAGCGTCCCTGCCAAAGCACGCGCGCTGGTGCAGTGCTAGCACCGTTTAGGGCAACATGCTCTTACCCGTAGCTTTCTTCGCCTATAAATGTATTGAAGTAAACTACTATAGTTACTGTATAATTCGACATCCCCAGTGAACCTTGATGATTGATCTCAAGATATGTCGTTATATAGTGACTGCCAGCTTAAGAAACACAGGGTGTGCTGAGTCACCAGGTCGCTCCACAGTCAATGATATTTGCCGATACGAACATCGAATCCCGAAGCCAGAAATGGGAAGCAACGCCTATGTTTCATCAGTGGTCAGTGACTTCCAACGACATGACTCTAACAACAATGTAAATTCAGTGCCGGACACCGCTGCTGACAAAGGATGCTCAGTGACTGGCGAGGACAGCACGCCGTGGACAAAACAGGGGTCGATCCGACAACGTGGCCATCGAGACGTCCAGACAGACACACCAGCCGGCGCGGCGGCCGTGTACCTGTGGCCTTGCGTCAAGCAACCGTGCCTTGCTCCTGACCCGGTGTAGCAAAGCTGCCATCTCCGTCTCGGACTCCGAGTCGCTACCTGCGCTCTGACTCGTCTGAGGCAGCGGAGCACGCTCCTCAACGACCTTCTGCGATATACACAAGGCACGCGGCTCCGGTTGGCTCGCTTTGCCAGTCGTCGGCGCCCGAGTACTAGACCAAGTATAGATGTGAGTCGGATATCATCTTTCGGCATTACGGAAAAGATTAACGATCGCCGATACAATCGCTTTTTAAGCCATCACGACCAATCAATAACCAGTCATTTGCATTGCCTTACGCTTCGTGATCTCTTGGTGACTCCGGACAGTCTCTGTAAGAAATAACCATGGTAATATCTTTTGTTTCCTAACTTATAGGAGATCTAAAAATAATCTCTAATAGCACCCTAAAAATGAAAAAAAAAAAGGATTAAGGAAACTCAGACACCCCTCAGGCTTATTTACAGATTTATTGATCAAAAACTGTAGAAGGGCAGTCCGGCTCATAATGCGATTTAAGCACATTCCTCGTCCGCAGTAATTCATTGATATCATTGTGTCGAGTTCATAATTTGTTTTCCCCTCAATCTCCAGAAATACAAACAAGCTAGTCGCTATGCGAAAATACCTCGTATACAAGTTCAAGGGAGGGAAGGCTCACCTTTGGCGTCCTGGTGCCGTGGACGAGGTCATCGGGCACCAGGCAGGGCAGCGAGTCCGCCGAGAGGGTGTCCCCTGCCTTGGTGCGCACCGTCACGCTGCGGGTGTGCAAGGGCAGGAGAGGCCCCACCTCCAGCAGTGCGTGGTCCCCTGGCACACCAGGCCCCTACACTCAGTATGACCTATACCACTACGTCGCAGGCGCCGCTGTGGCAATCGTAGACTGTCCAGACGCACAGTTCGCTATAAAAACGCTGCGTGATCCGCGTGACCTCTTGAAACCGAGACATTCGGAAGCATTTTTTTCTCATATGTCATCCCTCTAATCTCCCTTTCTCCTTCTCGCTCGCTCCTCTTCTAATTCGGAACCCAAGTCGCACTTTCCTTCCGTCACCGCCACTGCAGAGCTACCACAAATGTTACGATTCCTCCGGTTTCTCTTTTTGTACTCATAATGTCGTAAAGCAACGCTCCTACACGAAGCGCTATTGCCGACTGCAGGACGCGTCCACTACGACTCCCGATCATAGAAGGAGACCATGAAATATGCTTCAACGCGCCAGTAGTTTGGGGTGAACATCCTCCTATACTTCGTTTCACTTTAGGTCTGACTGCAGCCGAAGGTACGATCCGATGAAGTTAAATCACACCATGCAAAAAATGCTTCGTCATGACGTTGCTTGTCTTTGCGCGTTATCTATCAACGGCCAAAGCAATCGCGCCGAGAAAAAGCGCAAGAGTGCGGCGCATTCATTCTAAATTATTAGTCGAGTCAGTGATAGCAAACTCACAAGTGCAATTAGCGCCCTGACGATACACTTTTTGCACTGTGTGATCGGTCACATCGGATCGTTGCAACGACTTTCTTCAAGTGAAACAGAGTATAGACAAAATCTGAAGAACAAAAAAAGGAATGTTTTAGGTGTGGATGATGGCCAGGACGATGGTAAAGAGAGCAAAAAGAAGCGAGGTCCGCTCACCGGTCGGGCTGTCTATCTCGGTAATCTTTCTCCCGGCGGCGTAGACGGCGTAGCCGGTGACCGGCGCCCCGTTGGAGGTGCCGGCCGCGTTGATGGTCACCGGCAGCCATGTGACCAGCACGGTGCCTTCCTGGGGCCCCGCCTCCACCTGGATGTCCATCGGGGGGTCCGGGATGCCTGCGAGAAGCGGATCCACAAAAGCTTTCCGACGAACCTATTCTATGTTCGCCGCTTGCCATTTCATCCAACGAGTCGGTGTGCGGCGTTTTATCGACGGTAACGGCACCGCCCACAAACATTGTATGGATATAATGGTCGCCACGTCTTTTACTAGTAACGTACGGATGTGCCAAGCGTCCATTTTCGTTGAATTTACGACGGTTACAACACTCGATACACCCGCGTGCAGTGACATGGCGTAATAGATGCGTCGAACAATCGGTATAACACAAAAAAGGCTAGTTCACAGCGGTGACAGCAGTCAACAATAGTCACTAATAGGGTTAGAAAGGCGTCTCTTTCGGATGCCCGACCATCGGCATGCTCTGGCTGCCTTCCGCCATGCATTGGCTGCGCGCGCGCTCGACGCTCACGAGACATGCCGAAGTGTTCTCGAAGCTATGAAGCACGTCCTGGGCCCGTTTTCTCGAACACGAACCATGGTTTAAAGTTAACTATTGTCCCTAGAAGGGGGAATTCCAGGTCACGTGACTGTAAGAGCAGGGGCGCCGAGGGAGGAGCAGTACCTAGAAGCAAAATGGCCGCGACATCGCTTAATGAGGGCTAGTAGTTCTGCTTGGTTCTGCTGAACATTCATTTCGATCCGGCTGTTATATTAATGACTCACCATCAACCAATTAGTACGTCAAGCAAAGCGGTAGTTCAGAGGGACTACTAAACTAACCGACCGCAGCATTCTGCAAACGCATCACTCTTCAGCAGTCCGGGATCCAAGACATATGACGGTTCATAAGCCTTGCAAGTGTTTTTATGGTGAGCAAAAGAATGTTTTGCGAACGAGTGTTGGTATATACTTATACTAAGACGTTTAATTTGTTACACTATGCACGCCAACTCGTGAGCAGCGATTACTTTGCGGAGAAAGGGGGTTATCCTCGATAAAGTCTTCGTTCGGGGTGAACAGCTGAGACATTGTACTGTTTTTTTTTTGTTCACAGTGCGGCGACAGTATGCCGACAGCATTGAGGTTTCTACATATCCCCGGTGGCCAGCAATTCAACGGTGACGAGAAGCCGGTGACGAGAAGCTTAGCTTCTCGTCACCGGTGAATCGGTTGGGCAAACGGAAGAGAGAGCAAACAGTTGAGATCAGCAGGAATCGCAGAAACGTGCGTCGCAAGGAACGAAAACGAGACTAGAGCACCGGCGTTGCCAGACTGGAAGAAACACGGGAAAGTTATGCGTTGTTTATGGCGAAACATATTGAAGGAAATATTTTTTACAATTTCGAATATTCGTCGACAAACTATAGCATAGTAGCTAAAATTTCTTCGTACCATCGGAAGCAAATAAATTGGTCTTCAAGTACAACATTACTACATTTTGACTTAAAATACCATACTAGATCGATGACAACCAGCGGAAATAGAGGATAAACAAAATGACTGGCTTGTTTCACCGATAGATGACGCATCTTATTGCCCAATCAAAAATAATTATTGTTGTCCTATATCCCGCCGTTTATTACAGTACCTAGGTACTTTTCCTTTCCTAGGCACCGTGGTTTACCAAAATGGGTTTACCATCGCTTCGAGAAAACCGGCCCTGGAGGCGAGACCAATGAAAGATCTCCCCGCCGTTCTCATTTTGTGAACTACTATAACAGACCGGGGCTTCACCTTTGGGAAGGGTCCGGAAGTCCACGAATGCCGTGAGCATGCCGGCGACCCTGCGCGTCTCGGCCTTGGAGTCGTCTGGGAAGCCGCACAAAAGCAGTCGTCCGGGCTTGGCCCTGACGCTGACGCGGTACGACGTGTTGGGCGCCAGCCCCGAGACCAGGTGCCGGAAGCAGCCCGGCTTGAGGCACTTCATCTCCACGCTGTTCACCGCCACCACGTGACTGAAGTTGGAGTTGCTCGGCAGCCAGCTGATGGCAGCCGCCGTCGACGTCACGTTGGACGCCTTCACGCAGCTCGGTGCCAGGGGAACGTCTGCGAACACGTCGGGCACTGTTGCAGACGCTTCATCGCCCCCGCTTAGTGAGTCGAAACTACTCGCTATAAGCTGTACGCCAGAAGTCGACAGAAGCAACGGTGAAAGTACACTATTTCACTAAAGAGGCTAGTAGTTGAGCGGGCGTGTCTCTTACTGTGCCTGTCCACGCGCTTATCTACAGGGTGTCACAAAAGAAAATTTACACGGTGTTTTTTACCGCAAAAATGGACTAGGCGTCGCCGAACGCTCATTCTACTCCCAAAGGTAGCGCTAGAGGTCACAACCAGATGCCAAAGTTTCAGCCCGATCCGATAACTTAATCAAAAGTTATACGTGATTTTCTGAATACCTCAATGGGAAAATGGCAGCCGACTGAGTTTTCGAACACATGGGGCTCTATGGCATCAGAAACCGAAAACGGGCAAAAATGGGCTCCATTTTCCCATTGAAATTTTCAAAAAATCACCTATAACTTTTGATTAAGTTATCGGATCGGGCTGAAACTTTGGCATATGGTTGTGACCTCTAGCGCTACCTTTCGGCGGAGAATGAGCGTCCAGCGATGCCTAGTTTATTTTTGCGGTAAAAAAGACCGCGTAAATTTTCTTTTGTGACACCCTGTACATAGCCAAGCTGCAGCTTATTCGTCAAGATGAGTGCTGAAGAGCGTGCACATTCCGCTCTGAATGAACCTGCGTAGATTTCACGAACTGCTATCAAATTGTGATCTCCAGTAGCGTGGTTAAAGTGACTCGTCGAGAGGGTAAAAGAAAGGAATCAGCTTCTATGCTCCCGATATGTTGCTTTTTTTCATTTTACTCTACCTAAAGAGACAAAACTGCAGCCATGCACAGAAGAAGTAACTCAAGTTACTTCTTCCATCTCACAGCAGGGCCGTCACAATACAAAGGGAATCCGGAATACTCTCAGCCCAGAAAAAGAGAGAAAGGTCATACGCTTGTCTGATCAACCCAGAAATGTTGAAAAGGACGAGTGACAGAAACCCCAGCAGCCACGGGTTTAGACGCCTCAACGCTAGCGGTACTGAACCCCGTTCGTTCGCTATTCTGTCGCTTTTAGAACGAGCCACCAGGATCGTAACAGATCGTAGCTGTACACGGCGGTTCCAGTGAGGTATTTATTTGTCGTTTCACGAAAACTTCGATGCATGAGCGGTACAGGGGGCAAAAGATATCAACGATTAGGGAAAAGTACCACGGCACTGCGGTGAAAGTATTCAAGAAAGCGGAGGTATGCGGGGCTCACTTTTGCCGATGACAATGGTGCAGGCCGCGTCCCTGGAATGTTGGCCGGACGTCAGCACTGACCGCACGCTGATTCGGTGCGGCTGCGCAAAGAGCGGGAAAAAAAGAGATGGTGGAAATAGTACGGTAGAGCGCGCCGATAGACCCATTCTTTCCTAAACTCTAAATTACAGCTAAAATTGCAGGGGTGTGAAAAAGAATAACAAGCGGAAAGAAGCTCGAAATTTTTTGGAGCTAAACAATTCATCAAGATTAATAAAGCATGCACTACAATCACCGTAATTTTTTTTTTTTTTGTTTACCGCAGAGTAAATTGTAGTTTTATGCTGGGTTGAAGCCAAGCAGAAAATTATTCCGGGCAAGTTCATAGTGGCAAATTAAAAGCTGTCATATACGTTCTCTCAAATACTATATAGGTTCAACGAAGCACAACGCGGTACGGGCAAAAAAAAAAAAAAAAAAAGAAGTTGGAAAAAAATTACGAGTTGCCGTTGGGGAAAACAGTTTCTTGTGCTCAACCAGTAACAATTAAAAATACTAAATTGACTTCAGTAATATATGCATCGTTTAGGAAAAAAAAATTTGAGCGTCCACTTTTCCGCGGAGCACGCCCATAGGCAATCATAGCGTTCGACAAGAAGAGTCCAGTCCCTTACGGGACAGAGATAATAGGGAGTTTTCGTAGACCGCGTTGCCCCCTCCGCTAAGCGTTCCGCAACGAAGAAGTTGCTACTGCGCCTGCGCGCCGATAGCCTTGACTGTGGAGTTCCTGCTATCGTAGCGGGTTGCGGAGGGCCTTGCGGGACGGCGAAAACGATCTACGAAAACTCTCTAATGTCGTCACGAGACCACACGAAAACGTTATTCGTACAGATCGCATTTTCCCAACAAATCACTTATCCGCACGCACGCACGCACGCACGCACGCACGCACGCACGCACGCACGCACGCACGCACGCACGCACGCACGCACGCACGCACGCACGCACGCACGCACGCACGCACGCACGCACGCACGCACGCACGCACGCACGCACGCACGCACGCACGCACGCACGCACGCACGCACGCACGCACGCACGCACGCACGCACGCACGCACGCACGCACGCACGCACGCACGCACGCACGCACGCACGCACGCACGCACGCACGCACGCACGCACGCACGCACGCACGCACGCACGCACGCACGCACGCACGCACGCACGCACGCACGCACGCACGCACGCACGCACGCACGCACGCACGCACGCACGCACGCACGCACGCACGCACGCACGCACGCACGCACGCACGCACGCACGCACGCACGCACGCACGCACGCACGCACGCACGCACGCACGCACGCACGCACGCACGCACGCACGCTGTTTTTTTCTTATTCTTTCAGATTTGCTTAAAGAAAGCCGCGAAAGCTACACTTATACACTTATCCGGTTTGTGCAGGTTGGTTATACGGCCAGGCGGGCCGTGTAAGTAAAACCAACCTGCCTGAGACGCGCAACACACGTGTGCCCTACTTCCCTCCGCTCTACGAGGGAGGCGAGGGGGTGGCTTCGCGCCGCGACCACCGGGGAGCAGGGCCACGGGCGCACAGATGCGCTCCGATAAGACGCCGAAATATAGAAACTCGTCCAAATGGAGCGTTTTTACAGAACGCCGTAAAATGCTGCCCCGGCGTTATATCCTTCTAAAAACAGTTGATTTTGGGGTTTTCGATGAGGCTCTACAAGTTTTTAATTGGAATCATATGTCTTTTCAATAATTAAAAAGTCAATTAACGAGTTTTAATTAAGTAGCCAACTTATCGCAAAGATTTGCCACCCACATAATGTCCGCCTGGCCGTATAACCCACCTGCACAAACCGTATAAGTGTAGCTTTCACGGCTTTTTTAAACTAACCTAAACGAATAAAAAAAAACATCCGGTATATATATATATATATATATATATATATATATATATATATATATATATATATATATAGGTAAAGTAAGGTAAATTTAAAAACAATGAACCGGGAAAAGTTAATAAGTCAAAGATGCGTACTGTCGGAGTTACTAATTCGAAGTTTATTACGACGTTTCGAGCGGGGACCGCTATAGATATATAGGTCAGCGATCCGTACTTGCGGAGTTGCTATGCTAGAATTATATTGTATGTATTACGACAAATTCGCCGAGAGGCTCGGCTTCGTCAGGAGATGGCATGAAGCCGAGCCTCTAGGCGAAACTGTCTTAATACATACAATAAACTCCTAGCATAGCAACTCCGGAAGTACGGATCTGTGGCTTATTACATTTTCCCGGTCCATTGTTCTCAAACTATTCTGCCTGACACCCCCCCCCCCCCCCCCCACACACACACACATACATATATATATATATATATATATATATATATATATATATTACAGAAGTTGATAATTAGCTCTATGCCCTCTCTGGTACACTGGAAGCGCGGCTTTCGTTCACATAGAGTGTGTTCATTACTCGAGTAAATACGGCATGATCAACTGCCCTAGCTCAGTACACCGTCGGCAAATAAAAAGACAAGAACTCTGAGCAAGGGTCCTGCTTGCAGTGCCCGGGGACTACAATAAAAGGTACATTTCCGAGATACTTCATTGCAAGGCTAGCGGCGAAGAAAAGGAGCACTACAAGAAAGGAAGAGATGCAGGCAAGCTGCTCATAAGACGTCATAAACTGAACCCTGCAATCTTGTGTCGTGTCATCCGCTACATTATTTTTCTTGTCTCAGGGCTTAGTTTATAAAATTATGAAGTTTTCTCGTCAGGTCACGCCAACAGTGGCCGTAACTGCCCAGTTCCCCCGGCCGTGCAAACATATTCAACATTCGATTGTAGTTAGGGGTGGCCGAATAATCGGAAGTTCAAATACAAATCTAATATATGATTTCTTCTTTTATGAGGCGTATTTGTACAAATAAGCAATAGGCTCCACGCCGGGTATGCTGCGAGAGGTTGTGGGACGATTCCCCCGGTGGCAATTCCCCCGTCCCAAATGCAGTCTTGGGTAAGTTACTTTTAAAAAGTAATTCGTTACAGCTACAGTTACTTTCAGAAAAGAGTAGCGAAGTTAGCGTTACAGTTACCGCAATAAAATAGTAACTCGTTACAGTTAGTTACTTTTAAAAGGTAACGACGTTACTTCTCAGTTACTTTTCTATAACACAAAAAAAAAATTAGGAAAAGCTAGAAAACGCCCCTCACCAAGTTTTATTGCATAAAATTAGAAAAGTGCGCTTTTTAGTTTATAATGTAGCTTAGCAGCAGTTGCTTCGAGAAAGTATTATCTGTGGGTTTCCATCGTTTGGTGGCGAACGCGTCCCTGCCCTTTGCTGAAAAGGCGCTCAACTGGCGCGCTGGAAGGAATTGCACGGGTGCAAACGCGGACCCAAGACAAATGCCCTATATCCGTGGTAGCACTAGCACATTGCTGGCTCGTTGACGGCTGAGCTGGATTTATAGAGTCGCTGGACATATTGCAATTTGTACCCGGCAAGCCAAAAACAAACCCCGCGCAGACAGCAGTAAATTTTGCCTCGACTGTTGACACCAATCCGGTGTATTAGCGCACATCAATATACGCAACATGCGCACTAAGTAGTAGTGGCTTTAATCAAAATACGAAACATGCGCAGTGCCCTCCGCGTGTATTGTTGTTTCACGGTTGATTCACCCGATTAAAAAGCGTTTGCGCAGAAAAAAAGAAAAACCACAACATAGGTAGCGCTTCAAGACACTAAGATGTAAGTGTTCAGTCACAATGTACACGCGCGTGCGCAGAGATAACTAGATTTTATTTGCATCAAATCTACACGTGGCTATATTCGGATAGTGACTCGCTAAAAAGAACGTATTTACAAGTTTGTGCAAGTCAACTTGACAATCGAAATGTTAAAAAAGACAATTTGGAAAGTGCAAAGAATGTCTAGATTGTACTCGTTCAATGATATATTATTCATAAAACTGGAAAGTAACGACAAAAGTAGCGCCGTTACTTCATCGTTACCTCAGAAAAAAGTAATGGAACTACAGTTACAAGTTACATTTCTAAAAAGTAACTCGTTACAGTTACAAGCTACCTAAAAAGTAACGAAGTTACAGAAACGCGTTACTAGTAACGCGTTACTACCCTAGACTGCCCAAATGCCACGTGCATTTCCCCCAAGTGTCAAAATCCCTGCCGTCAAAATCTCCGTCTTGCCTCCCCCGAATGTAAACATCCCCGAGTCCGATTCCCCCTTTTGTAACTTCTGTAATCATCCTTATCACCCCTGCTATGCCGTGAAAACCGCTGCTAAAACATCTCCAGAATTTTTTTTTTTTAATTTTGATTTTTTTTAAAGTTTAATTGTTCGCAGACGACTGTATGTTTTTTTTTTTTTAACTGGCATTAGTCCAGGACCAGGAAAATTTCAACCAGTCGCTAGGAGAAAACTTATTATGGGGTAAGCAATGGGGTATGGTAACTAATTTTAGTAAGATCGTCTCTTGCATAATTACAAACAAGAAAGGTCTTAACCTTCCGCTACTTTATACGAGGCATTGAAGAATTTAAGTATTTGGGAATTATCTTGGCTAATACTCTGCGCTGGAATGGTCATGTGGATGACATCGGGGCCTTTTATGCTAGGACTGTTCGGCCAGTTAAGTTTCGCATCTGGAAATCTATGTCCTCAGCATGCGCAGGCAGCCCACCGTCACTCGCTTCCAGTGGTGAAGTGCGTGATAAAATCTCCTGTTTTGTGTGTCCTGTACTTTTTCTCTCCCGCGAAGACCGAAAGGTTCACAGCATTCTAATAAATAAATAACTAAGTAAACAAATAAATAAATTTGAATCCGCGTCTACTCTTCGCCATTCTTTCATTTTTCGTGTTTACTGTGTCAAACTCTTTGCTCTCAACATTCTAGATTGGAAAGTTATTTTCGGTCCCAGAAGTCATCGAACGTTTTCTTTTTTTCTAGGTATTTAGTGTCCAAATTTTCTACCATTCCGTCTTGTACTTGAAACTCTTGCTTTTCCAGGTTTCTGTGTTATGGTTGACAATCGGAA